AGATACTACACTTATTTTGTATGAGATTACATCCTAAGCCACTGCTTTTAGAGCATTTAGTTTGAATTCCGGAAAGATGAGAACACAATAAGAATTAGGCAATTAAACTTTTCATCATTACCTGTTTCATGTTTAATTTTTTGTTGACTGTAGGTGCTGCCATTAGCCTATTTGCTGCGTTACTTCTGTACACACAACATTACCAGTGATCGGATGATACTACTATCCCATTTGTTTCAAATCGAAGCCCTTTCGGGCATGGGTGAATTGCACTTGGCGTTAACTGAACTGGGTCGAATCATAAATTCAAAGGACGTGCCAGGTTTCCAGCTGAAAGAAAATACCTCCCAGAATAGGATTATTGATTGGCATAACTCAAGTGGACAAACAGTAAGTTTAAAATTTTAAGAATCATGCTACCTCTGAGATCTTCAGTACTTATCGGATGGCAAATTCTGATAGTCCATTCTACTGCTATCCATCTTATGCCGTTTGAGTCATAGTCCTAAAGTAACCGGCAGTAATGTTGATTGATTTGTGCACAAAACCTAGAATGAAGACCAAGACCATAGGTTTTCTTATTGCCTTTTCATAGTCATCATTATACACATCAGCTAGAGATGGGAAAAACACCTCCGCTATTGTGCCGCAATACATGAAGGAAATACATACATACATACAATACAATACGCAAATGAGAAGTAGATACAACAGTTGCATGCCAGCTGAGCTACCAGCAACGGATAGGCATCATTCCGGTAAGCTTCCAGCTAGCTACTAGGCAAAAAGAAAAACATATTGTGTTACCCTAGGAAATGAGATCGTAGATGGATGGGGAGTCAAAAGGGATGGGGAGGGAATAAGAAACTCACAGCATGAACGCCACTGAGGTCGGCTCCTTGCCCTGTCAGCAAGTGTATCAAGCCAAACGTGTTCACCGTCTTTTGGACCCCAACCAGGGAGCCGTGAAGCTCCAACCGAGGCTAACTCCGAGTTGAGGGACTTCATTCCCCTGGACCAAGTCATCGCTTGGCCACCTCTCCTCTTCTTCCACTCACATCCCCGGTGAGCAAACAACAAACGTCGAGGGAGTCGATGGTCTGGCATGCGTAACACGTGGCCGAGCCATAGGAGCCTGGTGCGGGAAATAACGGTGCTGAGCGGTTCAGATCCTTTTCCTGGGCCGTAAACAATGCGTCGAACACGCTCGTTACTCACGCGGTGTTCCCACCATATGTGAGCCAAACTGCGAAGGCACCGATGGTCGAACGTAACTAGCCTCTTCATGTCCGCTGATCTTATGGGCCAGGTTTCGCAACCGTATAGTAAGGTCGAACGTACCGCTGCATTGTACACTCTACCCTTCAGGGCGAGAGTGATGTCGCGCCGCCGCCAAATTTGGCGAAGCTTAGCAAAAGCACTTCGAGCTTTCGCTATACGGTTCGTGATCTCGTCTTCGATCCCAAGGGCGCTGATGCAACTTCCCAGGTAGCTGAATTTTTAAACGACTTCTAGCTGATCCCCACCAAGGGTCAGCGCAGGAGGCGATCCCTGCCAATCTTGGAGGAGCGCTTTGCACTTCGATGGTGCAAAGCAAAGCCCGAAGCGGCTGACAGCCAGTGCTAATCTGTCTAGCGCGGCTTGGCACGTCTGAGAGCTGTCACAGATGAGGGCAATGTCGTCTGCTTACTCCAAGTCAAGAAGTCGTTCTCTTGGGAGTAGCTCCACACCTTCCAAGTCATGTCCCGTAAAGGCAAACTCCATGACTTCGTCAATAGCGAAGTTGAAGAGAAAAGGTGAAAGCGGGCATCCTTGTCTCACACCGCTGGAGATATTAAAAGGTGGCGACAGCTTGCCGTAAGCTCTGACTCTGCCCGTGCTACGCGCATATAATGCTTGGATAATATTTACATATTTCTCGGGCACACCTTTCCTGAGTAGACAATTTCAAAGCGCACATCGATCAACCGAATCGAAGGCAACTTTGATGTCGAGGAACACGACTACGGTGGGGCGCCAATATGTGTGGCGGTGCTCCAACAACTGACGCAAAGTGAAGATGTGGTCAATACAGCCACGACCACGACGAAACCCGGCTTGCTCTTCACGAATCTGGCTTTCACGAGCGCCAGTCAGTCTGTGAAGAATTATGGAGGCGAGTAATTTGGAGGCGATGGAGATCAGACTGATTCCTCTATGGTTGCCGCATTCCGAGCGCGAGCCGCATTTGAAGATGGGAACAATAACGGAGCGGCTCTAGTCAGTTGGGACAGTTTCCTGCTCCCACAGTTTCACTAGTAATTCATGCAAAGCATCCACAAGAGCAGAGCCTGCAAAATTGAAGAGGGCTTAGGAATATCATCTGGTCCCGCGGCTTTGTTCAACTTCAACAGTCCGATCTCACGTTCGACTTCTGAGCGAGAGGGTGGATCCAAACGGACAGCACACGGAGCAGGGCGATCAGTGACTGGCGAATCGGACAATTCTAGCCTATTAAATTGCTTTTTAAAATGCTCAGCCCAACGCTCCAAACGTTTTGACAAATTGTGGATAGGCTGTCCACTCTCATCACAAATTGTTTCACTAGCACCAGGTCTCCTGCTGCCCGTTTCCCGTATCAGACGGAATAACTTACTATGGTTGCCAAGGGCAGCGGCCACTTCCATCTCTGACGCACGATGAGACCACCAAGATTCGCGGTCTCTCTTCAGGCTAGCACGGAGTTTTGCCCGATGCTCTTTGCGAGTTTCATTGTGTTCAGTTCCAGCCGGGATATGCCGGCGAGCGTCGATAAGTTCCAGAGACCGAGAAGAGACCTAATGTCCATGTGGGCTTTTAGACATACCACATGAGGATTTGCCCGCTGCTAGTAAGGTCTGGCGAACATGTGACCAGTGACCATCAATTGTCTCCAGTGAGCGAGTACTCAACTCGCATGTCAGCGTACTTCGATACGCATTCAGAACAGCTGGCTTTGTCCGTTGGCTGGTGTCAATGCGCTCACAGCGTCGTCGTGGGCGTCCGCTAAAACGCATCCGCATTTCAGCACATACAAGTGCATGATCAGTGTCCACACATGCGCTCCAAATCGAGCGACAATTCTGGATGCAGCCTCTCTAGCGGTAACTAATAGCAATGTGATCGATCTGCGTCCAAGGCTGGTTCGAGGCTGGTGGGCGCCAAGTCACCCTCCGGCGGGTGCTGCGTCGGAAATTAGTGCTCGCAAGAAATAAACGAGCATCTTCACACAAATGAAGTAACCGCTCACCGTTATCATTACGGGAGCCTACACCGTGCTGACCGCCCAAATGCATTTCATCAGTGGACAACTTTCCAACTTGTGCGTTCATATCCTCCGCCAGAACAACAGTGTCCGTGCTTCTTCTGTGGCGAAGGAGCTGAGTCAGTTGGCGGTAGAAGTCGTTCTTTACCGAATCATCGCTACAGTTTGTGGGCGCGTAGGCAGCGATGATGAATAGACATCTATTAGTCTCGCGTGACTTCGAAGCTTTAGAGAAGCCAGCCAATCGGACCGCACACATCCGGCTATTGATTGGAATCCCATCAACCAGAGCAGCTTCAGCCCGGGGACTCAGAGCAATGCCAACACCAGCTTGGCCGGTGCTCGAAGCTGCATCGTCACTGGATAGGCGCAATGAGAAATTACTGTTTGCGTCACCTGAAGGGGATCGCAGAGTGAGCACAGAGCTCGCGTCTTGCAGGCGGGTCTCTGATAAGCAGCAGATATCGATCGAGAGGGTCTCCAATGTTCGGGCAAGTGCTGCCTGTTGACCGATCTGTAGTAGTGTGCGTACATTAAGGCATGCCAATCTGAAGGAAAATCGTGGGCTCAAAATGGAAGCCGATGAACTGGAATGGACCGCTTGGTTGGACATGGGCTTGTCGACAGCAGAGGAGTGACGCTTCGCCTTCACATGTGGGTTGAAACTAGAAGATAAATGCCTAGCAAAGCATGTTGGGGGAAAGCCAAGAATCGGGGGTTGAAAACTGGGGGGATATAAGTGAAGTTGGAAGGGGACGGTAAGAGTGAAAAAGCAAAAGATGGGGAATAAGAACACGGGAAGGCTTGAGCAGTAGCATCCAAACCCCTATCCACCCTGCTCGATGCAGCAGATAGGGCACCGTTGATTATCCTCTGCGGTGGCCAGAGCATCAGAAATTTGTTTTAAGTGTGATTCATTGTATTGCGTGGACAGGATACTGTCAGGTTGCCCAGGCCTAGACAGGAGAACGATTAGGGTTTTCAACCAAAGCCTTTGGTTCAAAAACCTGACCGCAAGGCAGCGGGTTTGGCGTTGGACTACAAGGGGTCCGTTTTAAGGAATAAGGTGCCACCCTCATTCCAACCCCCAACCTGGAGGACCAGGAGGCTGAGTTTGTCTGACCTCTAACCATTGACCAATCTGGTATGAGTGACTCTGAAGGTGCAAAAGCACCACCCAGCATAGCTCAATGGATCGCTGAGGCACACAAACCATCGCACCACGGTAAGGTCTAGCATTATTGCGATGGGCCTTTTCATAGACTGTTTAACTGTTAGATCTGTCTGTTTGTGTAAACTAGAAAGTCCTCTAGCCATAGCGTACACTAGTCAGTGTCTGAGGCTTGTCGTGGGTGGAGTTTCTAGCTTTGAATATTGGATTAAAGCGGTACAATGCGTCTTGATTATTTTGGTAACTTCTAAAGCACACCTACAGCAGCCTACATGAAGAGACTGGAATGTGTACTTTAGGCTTCCGCAAGAAATTGCATATTTCAGAGTGGCACATGCACTTTAGACGATGCTGAGTTTTCATACCATTCAAACAGTATCCATCTCATTATGGTGTAACCACAAATCATGTCTTAACAATCCCTAACAAATGCCTCTGAATTGTTACACATATCTTTTCTATCCTTCTCGGTTGTTTCATAAAGTAAGATCTTATTACTTCCTGCTATGCCTAATTACAACCTGTTTCGTTTCACTATTATCCCAGTTACTCACGAACGCAATGACTCGAAGAATTTCGGAGCGATTCCTTATGGAATTCGGCCAACCTCTGCTAATCCGCGTAACTTTACTGAGAGCTCGGTTACTAACCAAGGTGGCGGCATCCATTGGTTACTTACCGATGGAGTTGGATGAAGTGTGAGTCTAACTGGGCAAATTGCAGTCATGTTGCACTCAATCTATTTGTTGATTTTCAAAATCATGGCTTATAAACTTGACATAATGTTGCTTAAGGGTAGGTTTTGATAAAAATGCATTATTGTGAACTTGCCCTAGTAGCTTAACTATCCGTTCTGCGTGAGGCAACATGTAATACGAGTGAAGTGACACCATACAAATTAGCCGCAGATTCAACTAGTCATTAACTAGCAAGAGTAACCAAAACATTTGTCCTTTTTCGGACCATGATCATAAACATTTTCCACGTTACCTGCGATATGTCCAGGAGCATGCATGCATCCTTCGTATAGTATTGAGCATTGAAGGCATGCTGACCATTGAACAAATTGTTCTACTGGCCTCTGGATGATATCTAATCCACCTTATTCGCTATCGAAACCTTGTTTTTGTTTGGTAGAGCCTCAACTTCACTCTCTTTCTCATGTACTACAAATACGTCCTATTGTATATTTCCATAAAACACATGCAAATTTGTTTACTAACTGGAATTTGTGACTAATTGTGTCCTTGAATGCCCTTCGGTGTAAGAAAGCATTTGCTAAAATATAAGGATAGAAGAGTCAGCATGTTTAGATACTTCATTATGGGCGTAGAAATCCAAACATTGGTAAGTTATAGGTAAGGTGAAGCCTAGTTAGTACAAATAAAACTATAGGATGGCAATTTCCTCAATTCTTGGTTCTCTCGAAATATGAAAACGCAGATTCAAATACACATTTTAACCGAGCGCACAATCACTGGTTATGAATGATACTGTCTCTGGTAAATGACAGCTCAGAATTAGAGCATAAACGGCTGATGTTCACGGAGGTAAAATTGCAAAGATTGTACTGTGGAAAAAATAATTAGGTGTTTCGTATGGTCTATTCAGTGCAAACATAATAGCATAAAAATATATAAGACGACAGGTAAGGTGAGATCGGAACAAGTTAGAATAGGGTAGGGGGCAGCCGTAAGCTTACGATCAACTTTTGCTGTACACAGCGTGCGGGTTCGATAAGGATGATTGCGACTGCCTCGGCGAAACGTAGGAAATGGGCGTTTTTATGTCTCAGCACGATATTAAACATTGTGGATTGATCAAACTGATGACAGGTGGCCAGTAAATGCCTACTTATGGATGAAGCAGGTGGTTTCCGTGAACAGGGGGTATGAACAACCGACAGAAGACGTTAATGAAGTGGAAAGACGCATCACGGAACACACAGAGTTGCCCCTCTTACACCGTGTGATTGGTGATGAGGTATATAACAGATCCTAACCGGGAGGGTCCAACATAGCTTAGCCAAACGAGTTACCGAAGACCCATATATGTGGTATACCTCTTAGACTAATATTGTCCATGGCCAACTTCGGCACAACATAAGTTGGCTCGTTGGATGGTGGAAGTAATTGCGGCCGTCAAAGTGGCAGAATATCCTACATCTTCTGAAGGGCACTTTCGAGCTTACCGAGACTTTAGATGAGTTTAACCTAGCCGATAAAGTAATAGTCACATTGGATGTACAGTCGCTTTTCCTCAATGGCCGGCAGCATGAAACAGTTGATTACGTGTGAAATGGCAGTACTCAGAAGTAACTCTTCCAATACCAATCGAATTAGTAAGGGACAGTTTAGTATTAAGCAATGGGAACAACGGTTTTCAATTCCAAACATTGCTTATCGCCAGATAGATGGGGTTGAAATGAGTAGTCCGTTGGGCCCAGTGCTAGCAGATTTTCTCATGTCGATGATTGAACCGAAGTTGAGTACAGAAATATCGCTTCTTTCCTGCTATAAGCAGGATGTGAATGATATTTTAGTGCTTAGCTCATCAGAGGAGCACATCGCGCGCCTGGCTGATCGTCTGAATAACGTGTATACGAAGCTGAAAATAACCTGCGAAACAGAGAAAAGCAACTACCTCTCAAATCTGGACGTGTTTATTTTGTAGAAGAGCATATGGTCCATCAGAAGAGAGGTTTAACGAAAGCCGACTTGGTCAGGGCAGTACCTTCACTTTACAAGGTTCTCTCCAATGCGGTACAAACGGACCTTAGTCAAAATGTCATTCAACCGTGCAAGCAATATATGCACTACCGAGAGTTTAGATGATAAGATAACGTCTATAAAGGATACGCTGTTGTACAATGACTATTCAAGTAGATTCATCGACACAAATAGTCAGGCGTGGGTGACGGGACAGAACGCTTCGATATTGTCTTAAAAAGGTCTGCTTCGAGCTACCATTTAAGGGTGATTTTGCCAATATGAAGACGACGAAGCGCATAAGTTCCACAGTCCAGAATACTTAGTATGCTGCTGAAATTGTTCTTATCAACCGGACTAAAGGAATACCCTTTAACCCATGAAGGAAAGACAACCAATTGGCACCAACTCACATTGTATTTACAAATTTATTTGTAGTTATGGCATACACTACATCGGCTGTACCAATAGATCCTTAAACTCCAGAATAAGGGAACATGTACCTAAATGGTTGCAGCATCAAATCACCCAATTGTTGATTACTCATACCACCTGTTCATGTAAGCCACCTGCTTCATCCATAGGTAAGCATTTGCTGGCCACCTGTCATCAGTTTGATCAGGCCACAATGTTTATTATCGTGTTGAGACATAATAACGTCCATTTCCTACGTTTTGCAGAGGCAGTCGCAATCAGCCTTATCGAACTCGCACTCTGTGCAGAAGCAGTTGCTCAAAAGCCTATGGCTGCTCTAGGCTTTGGTGTGTCACATCTGCCCTCTACCTTGTTCTACTTGTTCCGGTCTCACCTTGCCTGTCGTCTTATATATTTTCATGTTGTTGTGTTGGCACTAAAGAGAAAAAAAACGAAATGTTGACATTTGTCAGTGTTACTCTTCTTACTGATATCTTCAAGTGACTAAAGGGTTTCAGCGGTTTCAATAATAATAAGTATAGTTGATGTAGAGGGTGAGGAAATCTCATTTAAAATGGAATAAGTATAGCAATCAAACACGACGGTAAGATTGAGATCGCCGCACCGTGCCTGACTGTCCACTTGGCTCACTAGATACGTAGATATTGGAAGAACATAGTGGCACTTTAGCTTGCGGAAACAGAAGCTCTTCAGTGAAAGTTAATAGGTTTAGTTGGATTTTAGACGGTGTACCAATTTAATACCATGACCACAACCTACAGTAAAAGTCGTCGGTTTTGCAGTAATTTCCTCTTGTGCCACTCACATGAAATTCTGTAATATCGAGTGCTGCCTGTAACCTAATGCCAAGGGTTGCGTGATAAATCGTCAAAGCGTCACAGAGAATACCAATTAACTTGTGTATAACAACTCCCCCAGGTATATCCGTTGATTCACACGTATTAACAACAGTTATAAGCACGATGCTCTTTTCGATACGGCTTTCTCTGTTGTATTTGTCTGGAAGTAGATCGTGTTTGACTTGGCCCTATGCGTACGTGATGCTTCTGCCATTTTGTTAGTTAAACTTTATCCAAGTACCTCAGTGTTTGTGATTCATGTACTTCATGGAATGAGATAAATGGGGACCATTAGACACAAGTCTCGCATGAAATATTCATCTACTTAAGCATCTTTGTCTTTGGAGAGCGATGTTTATCTAACAGATCAGTTTGTCTGCAGGAACAGACACTGTTGGTTCGTAAATGAATCCGTTCCTGGTAAAGTCGTGTATAAACTTACTATGATTTAAAATAGCGCGGCGCTCTTCTCAGCACATTTGGAATGATCCCTCTTAGGGCTACTATGGATTAAGCTAAATATTACACCTAAATTTCTATTATTAGCTTCGTGTGATACTTTGTATCTATGTTTGGTAAGTGTAAAAACATTCACCATTAAATGTTTTGCATTGTGCACCGTTGGAAAATGACTTGGTTACCAGCAAAAAACAATGGGAATTAATTAATCTTGCAGTTAGTTAACCAGACAGCCCTTAAAGTTTGGTCGAAGTGATTACGAAAATGCAGGTGGACTAAGAGACAGCTGTCTGTGAGTAAGCATTACGATAAATATATATTTAGGCATAAACACTATTGAAAAATCCGCCAATTGTTCACACAAAGTGAGGTAACATAAAACAGACATGAGTCTCTGCCATCGGCAACCAGGTATTTGATTGACTTAGTAAAGCTGTTACGCTTGCGGGCAGCGCAACATTTGATTTTTGTTGTAGGCAAGTTCCAGTCCCACCTGGAAGAACACCAGAAGTCAGGGACCCAAAAGCAAATGAGGTCTATGAGCCAAAAACTTCGCGTACTTCCACAGAAGCCGGTAACGTTATCTTTTTCTGTGTACAACAATTTTTTTGCTGGTTTAAATTTCATTTGTATGTTTTGTTTGTGGTTCGCATTCGCATCCTCTAGTACAAGGTGCAGTATGGTTTCTGCGATCTTTGATAAAGAACTTTGAACACTAAAATGCTTACTGTCTACAACTTCAGCAACTACGATCACATGCATCGATAAATTAGCTGCAGTAAATTAGGCAAAATATATTGGCTTGAGTTTTGTCGAAAAGCGAATTACTAAGTATAACTAACCTAAGTACCCGACAATGACGCGCTAAACTTGCATGAGTATTTTGCCTTATCATAATATCTAGTCAGTTTATACTATACGACAATGCAAAGTTTGATGTATTTAAACAAACCATTCAAACACGCTGTTTTAACAGCCTTGTACTTTGGTGATTCGGTGTTGCTCCTCCCAACCCTGAGACCCCATGACCGGTTTCGTCTTCCTTTAGACTCATCAGATGGAGATACCCTGAGCTGGGGTGGACCTCGAGGTATAGTGTTCAAAGGTTGACGCCCTGACCACTATGGCTCCTAGGTCCACGAGCAACGTTTGGCACAGCGGTAATGTGTTCCAAGTGGCATTTGGTGTACTCGCTGTGTGGTTGGATTGCGACTCGCAATCCAACCACACAGCGAGTACACCAAATGCCACTTGGAACACATTACCGCTGTGCCAAACGTTGCTCGTGGACCTAGGAGCCATAGTGGTCAGGGCGTCAACCTTTGAACACTATACCTCGAGGTCCACCCCAGCTCAGGGTATCTCCATCTGATGAGTCTAAAGGAAGACGAAACCGGTCATGGGGTCTCAGGGTTGGGAGGAGCAACACCGAATCACCAATTCGGTTACGGTCCTTGTGATCGTAATGACCGAGGTCCACTTAGGACCGAGGTCTGAATAGAGATTGCGAGTCGCAATCCAACCACACAGCGAGTACACCAAATGCCACTTGGAACACATTACCGCTGTGCCAAACGTTGCTCGTGGACCTAGGAGCCATAGTGGTCAGGGCGTCAACCTTTGAACACTATACCTCGAGGTCCACCCCAGCTCAGGGTATCTCCATCTGATGAGTCTAAAGGAAGACGAAACCGGTCATGGGGTCTCAGGGTTGGGAGGAGCAACACCGAATCACCAATTCGGTTACGGTCCTTGTGATCGTAATGACCGAGGTCCACTTAGGACCGAGGTCTGAATAGAGATTGCGAGTCGCAATCCAACCACACAGCGAGTACACCAAATGCCACTTGGAACACATTACCGCTGTGCCAAACGTTGCTCGTGGACCTAGGAGCCATAGTGGTCAGGGCGTCAACCTTTGAACACTATACCTCGAGGTCCACCCCAGCTCAGGGTATCTCCATCTGATGAGTCTAAAGGAAGACGAAACCGGTCATGGGGTCTCAGGGTTGGGAGGAGCAACACCGAATCACCAATTCGGTTACGGTCCTTGTGATCGTAATGACCGAGGTCCACTTAGGACCGAGGTCTGAATAGAGATTGCGAGTCGCAATCCAACCACACAGCGAGTACACCAAATGCCACTTGGAACACATTACCGCTGTGCCAAACGTTGCTCGTGGACCTAGGAGCCATAGTGGTCAGGGCGTCAACCTTTGAACACTATACCTCGAGGTCCACCCCAGCTCAGGGTATCTCCATCTGATGAGTCTAAAGGAAGACGAAACCGGTCATGGGGTCTCAGGGTTGGGAGGAGCAACACCGAATCACCAATTCGGTTACGGTCCTTGTGATCGTAATGACCGAGGTCCACTTAGGACCGAGGTCTGAATAGAGATTGCGAGTCGCAATCCAACCACACAGCGAGTACACCAAATGCCACTTGGAACAGATTACCGCTGTGCCAAACGTTGCTCGTGGACCTAGGAGCCATAGTGGTCAGGGCGTCAACCTTTGAACACTATACCTCGAGGTCCACCCCAGCTCAGGGTATCTCCATCTGATGAGTCTAAAGGAAGACGAAACCGGTCATGGGGTCTCAGGGTTGGAGGAGCAACACCGAATCACCAATTCGGTTACGGTCCTTGTGATCGTAATGACCGAGGTCCACTTAGGACCGAGGTCTGAATAGAGATTGCGAGTCGCAATCCAACCACACAGCGAGTACACCAAATGCCACTTGGAGCCTTGTACTTTGTTCTAATAAAATTTTATTTTATTTCAATAGCCATGGGAAAACTTATTGCCAAACTGTATTCATACGTTTCAACTCTGGATCACCCGGTTATGCAGTTTGAATCCATCCTCAAGGGCTTGTTGTTGAATACATCTAACCGATTGTGTCATGGTCTATTTACGGCCCTTGACTGTGATTCAAGTAGGTCAACGCGCACAAAATTTGATCGATATCACCTGACTGGCCGCAGATTACCTGTCACTATTAACACAGAGTTTGCATCTTGTTACTTAGAGCAAGAAGCACAAGAGCAGGATATATTGTTATCGGTGCAAGCGTTGATTCAAATGGCCGAGAATGCACGACAGAAGCATTGCGCACGATCCGGTGTCGTTTTCGCGCTTAAAGGCTTACGCATGTTGCACCCCGTTCTAAACCAGAAACTGAGTAAGTTAGGCTGTGAAATAACTTCATTTCTTTTGATGGATTTGTTACTTTGATTATCGTGGCAGTGTTGTTAACATTAGTGCACATAATTGCTGTGAATTCGGTCTAAAGTGGATTCCAACCTATTGTGCATTCGGCGTATCCCTTTTGTTGGTGGCATTTTGTTATTCACAGGCCTATAGGCATCCATTGTGCTGGAGTTCCAAATTTAACTCTGCTGCGTTGTGTGTTGTTAAAGATGTCCTTTTGAAATACGGTATGACAAATTGCATGCTGGCGCGACGTCTATATTCTTTCGCCATGTCAGTTGCCCAAACATCGTGGTCTGTTTAATGAGTTAGCTAGACCCTAAAAACGACAAGCTTCATTCTCGACCAAGGTATTTACCAAATATCTCAACTGAAGTCAGCCAGAATTTCTGAGTTAAGTTTCTTTAATCACACATAGAGGGTGATTTGCATAAATAATGCATATGACCGAACCAATGATGTTTTAAACGGCTTTCTCAGATGTGTTATTAGTGCCGATTGAGTAGAACGGAGACAGTCAGATATACATGAGGTCGGCGCAATGGTTCCTCACACGTAGCATGTGTGTTGTGGGCAAGATAAGACAGCTTTCAACTATATTCTTCAAATACGCTGGTACACTACTTTGGACTTGTTTGGCAGTGTGTTAATTGTCTATTCATTGTTCACATATATAATTCTTCCCATGAACAGAAATTAAAATCACAATGACCCAATGCATACTGTAATCATTCTACCCAATAATCGTCTCAGTTTGCAGCAATTTCACAATTTTTGTACTTGCCTTGAACACACCGTAACATCCCGAATTTTGAAGCGTTTTAAGCGTCACTTGAAAATTGACTTCAAGACAGAGAAGAGAAAATTTTTTTGCACAGGCACAGAAATGCAATGCTATATCGGTATGTGTTAAAATGTTTAACGTATTTGAAAATACCCAGGGTGTCTTCAGCCACATCAAATGAACATCGGAAAAATAGCGGTTGGCACACTTCACTCAATGTCATAATGAAGACGAGATCATGAAGTGCTGAGCCTTGGAATACACGTCACTTTCCCATTATTATTTTACTGTTTGCAAATATAGCAGTGTTGAGACTTTTCACCCTGACGCCAACGCAGCATATTTCAATCATTTCTCATAGGTAGCCTTGTATATTCATCTTTCCCTTTGTTTACTAAACTATATCCCATGATGTCACCTGCAATTTCTTTGCGTAATTCCAATACCCAACAAGCGCTGCAAGGTTCGGAGTATACGAACGAAGAACTCCCGTTGATTCGGTACGATAACAGAAGGGTCGCTGTTGCACTTTGGCACCGATGTCGAAGAGGACTGATAAAGTGTCAACTGGCGGAAATTCAAGTAATTGGCTCTATTCCTGGTAAGTTTTCCGATTTGGGCTTTATTCATGCTGGGAGAAATTGCTTTGAAAGACGAAGTAACGACTCAGGGTAGAATCTTTACATGTTGATTATTTAACCTGCTAAGCAGGTGTAATTCTTGTACGTGATTATTTTGAAATTACCACCGTATATAACTTCATTTTATACAGGCAGTCATTTGTGGATTATTAAAATATACAATTCAAGTACACGCCAGTAATCAAATAAAACAGGCATTAAAGTACTGCCGTATTTGAGGCGCATGCAAGATATCTGCATTTTTATCGTCTCATTTACAGAAATCCTATGCGGGAGTACCTTTGGGAATAAATCTACTAGAAACATTATTAAAGGACGCTTACAGGTCGAAGCCGGGGAATCGTCGGGGTTACTTTATCTGTGATGTTATCCACTGCTTATTTAGTCGATAACACAGAGTGCCTAAATTGCTGCCCTTAAATTGTAGAGCAGTAAGATAATATTAATTAACGAGAAGATGGGTCGCGGCGAGAAGCAGTTCCACAACCGCAAAACATACTTAAAACAATACAGAAGAGTAGCAGGAGGAGTTGAATGATATAAGTAGAAATTCGTCACATCTAGACTCAATCAGACAGCCGTCACAAGCACAAATAAGCACTGTACGCACGTTATATCCCTTCGGGAATCGTCAGCATTGCGCATTCCATCGGACCGTTGTAGGGCTCGACACCCGCAAATCGACTGTTGCCAGTCCGTGCACCGACAAGGAGATTGCAGCATTTGCAAGTTCCTAACATGCATGGCAGTGGAAGATGGGTTATCCAGCTAATATTCAACCCTACATGTTAACATATGTCACCCATGACTCAATATGTTAAATCTTTGGAATACAGCCAAGAACTGAATCCATTTTTGTGATCTTGAAACGAATCAGTGACATGACCAAATATGACGAAACGATCGTCCTCTATTTTGCTGTAAGTTCGAATAGTGCCTTGACATGTATGATTGTTACGCCCGTACTCAAAAATGTTTAAAATTGTTTTGACTATCTTTCTAACGAGAAACGCAACCAAGCTACTAATACAGCTTAACTATTAAAGGTTCAGCGAACAAATTTGCTGTTAGCCTTGGTTTTCTTCTAAAAGCTTTGCCGATTTACTGAGTTTAGTATTGATCATCAGAGAACCTCTTTAGTACACTGCGATGTCATGTGGCTGATGTTAATGTTTTTAGTTCCGAAAGTTTACTGTGGAAAACTATTTTTCAGCGACTTTAACCTATTGTAAGTATTGGGGTTGGTTCTCGGAGAACATCGCATCAACGTAAGCTGAGCTATTTCGGTCGAATTTTCATCATTAGATAGTTGAACAACAGAACGTAAGCATGTTTAAAGATAATAAATCTTTACATCAGTTTAATTAAAACGTGACATCCATTGGACAATAGCCTAAGAAACCAAAATGTCAAAGCATATTGCTTAGTGGCCATTTCTTTTCAATTTGTCAGCGCGATTCAATACGAAACGTAGAGGGCTTGGAGGTAACTCCTGTCGTTGTGTACTTAGATGGCTACCTTACATCTGGTTAGGCTTTTGGTAGTGTTTAAACTAACTCGGAATTGCTGTAACTAGAGTTAGTAGTTAAGATGTTGGTTGGTACTTATGGCTAGACAATTCTGATTCGAAAATTTCCTCAAACAGACGGAGATTTTGACACAGAGAAAGACAAGAATGTGAAGAATTTCTCAAAGCGGAGCTATCTACAAAGAATTCAACTAACCTACACAAAGAAGTAAATTCAACGTACTAAAAACTTAGACAAAAAGTGTAAGCAGCCAATTAGCACATTGTAAAGAAAATCAAGGACAAATGATTCGAAGAGGACAATATCAAAGGTCGCTTGCTCCTTGATCACCTACCGACAATCCATTTAGTCCCATATCTCGCTACACAGTCGTACAATGATGATGTTGTCTCCGTGGTTAAGGAAACGTTTGCTATAAGAATCAACCCGCAACTCCCTGCGAAGTATATTCGAGGTTCCTCGACGCAACGGCAGTGTGCACTGCTCGATAATCGTTCGATTTGCAAACTACTTATTATCTACTTAGCAGATAGTAACTTGTCTCACTGAAGTACAGAAGACATGGGCTATGGTACAGTACTACTTTCCGGACTTGCAAAATATACGGCTTAGATTACAATAACCAGCTCGGTTTTAACCGTCAACTAGTGAATAGGTTAATTTGTGCAAAATTCTGATGTTAGATGTTGGATACCGAAGTTCAACACAACGGTACTCCATTTTGACCTTGAAATTGGACAGAGCGTGCCAAGCACTTTTCAGCACGTCATTGCCTTACATGACAGGTTACTTTACAATTTTTGCGAACGTTACAAATAGAAATATGCTCAAAGCACTACTTTTATATAACCAAATGATTATGCTGAATGCCGTGTGTCTCACCAATACGTGAGTGTGAGTGGTTCTTTAACAGTTGGGAACATCATCATCCCTTTGTACAACTAGAACGGACTAACAACCTAGGATGTAACTGAGCTCAACAATAATTAACTTATTTGTATATTCACCACTTATGTACTTCCGTGATTATGAAGCGACTGAGTTCAGTTACGATTAAGTACATGTAACTTGTCGACTTCTTTTCTCATTATCTTGAATTCTCAAGCTGTACAAAAGATTTTCGATAGCATGGCAGTAGTGAGCAATTGCAATAGTGGCTAGAATATCTAACCATAAAGCACAAAATATGTTGTCTAGTGACATGCTACCTGAATCGAGCACACAAAAAGGGTAAAAGTGCAACACGTCCGTTATTCATAATGAAGAATCTAAGCCAATTATTACATATTTTATCTGATCACTTTGTGAATCCAATAAACCTCGTAACTCACTTTCTGGTCAAAGAAAAGCACTTTCATAAAAAAGACGAAAAGGACATGCTTGTTTGCACTTCGAACAAATTAGGAGTCTGCTTGCAATGCTAAAATACCATTTATTAATGAAAAGAGCCAAAGGACCATCCGGTGCTTTTTGAATTTGTGTTTAGACAAGCTAGCTTGTGAGTTGCCTGGATAACTAAGTATAATTTGAATTTATTCATGTCGCTGAAGAACCTACGACTGCATACATAAGTTGTGCGAAGATATACAGACTGGTGGTTTTTATTCATCGTTCAATAAGAACGCGAGAAGCAACTATACCTTCCCCTTATCTAGCAAACACTTTGGGTTCATAGGGTACAAACAAAAGGTTTATATGGGCTACAAACGTTGGTAAGCAAATTTTAGTCCTAACTTGCCACATTATAATCTCGACCTTAAATTCTTTTCTAAATATATGGATGCCATTTGATCCAGGCACATTATTATAGGCCTTCATCGGTTTCAATATTAAACGTTAGACCGTTGACAGATCATCTAATTGGATCAGGATGTTATAATCTTCAGTTGATAGGATGCAGGCGGGGAGAGGGAATGTTCATTGGAGTTTGCCACCAATCAACATATAGCGGAAGTTCGAAATTATTGTGGAAAGTGACTCATTCCGAGGGGCTGGAAATTTACTTGGAGGGACTACGTGACCTATGGACAACTGGGTTCCGCAGCGTTGCGTTCTTCATGTGACTTCAGAGCTACTCATAACATAGAAATGTGGTAAGAGGTCGGACAAATGCTGCGGAGAGGTTTATACCTCTATTCCTAAGCCAACTTAGCTTTGGAATGCAACAGCTTGCGGTTTTAGGACACACTCAACTTGCACGGTGAGAAAATTATTGTACCCATTCGACTGATTCATTCCTCCTCAAGTATGACAGTCACTTATAAAAGTGGTTCTAAACTGTCAACCTCCGCATTTAGTTGGCCGTAATTACAAGTAACTTAGGCACTATGGTCAAATAAGCGTGCTGAACACTGAATACTAAAATTAGAAATCTAGTGGACGTAGGTCTGTGTTGCTCCATCGTCGTTAACTCAGGCAGGTGCGCGAATCGCGTCACCGACTCCTGCCTGTCTGCTGCATATTACAGCTGCATCTTATGCTTTTCAGCTACGATGTGCCCCCTGAATCGGAAATTCGCAAGGTGGACGCCTAGGAATTTATCGAATTCCGACTCTGATTTGCCCCGTCTATTTTCTCTGACAAACTCTTCCAATATTTCCCCACTCGACGATCAAAGCATAGAGGGTGAGCTATTCTCTTTAGGTCCGGTACCACTAGCTTGTACCGGTGGTTGCGAGTGCAGCTTGGTGCGCGCACATCAAGCCGTAGCCTGAAAATGGGGAAGTGACCGAGATGCACTATCTGTTCCATTAGTAGGAGGTCCATTTGGAACCGACCATACGAAACGGTGTACAGATCTGGTCGTGTGCTATTGGTCTTTGTACGGTACACCCGTAAATTGGCATTGAGTCTGGTAGTTACATGCTGAACCCGTTCCGCTCCGCACCTCGCCACGTGTGACGGGAAAATAGGCGAGTGTTCCGTACTTGTGCGTGAGTCTTATGACTGAATAGAAGATATGAGTAGCGGAAGCTGCGTTTGAACGCCAAAAATGTACGCAGTCCGTTTCCATATAGCATCTCTGTGTAAGCTACGGAATTCAAATCGTAACGAGAGAGTACATCGAGATCCTTCAAGGAGAGTATGGGATATAACGGTTGGCTGACAACATTGTGCGTGCGCCCATTATCAACCTCCTCTAGAAACAAACATAATGATTTGACTACATTGACCTGTAGATGGATGTCTGCGTACCACGTGGAAGGGCGATCGAGTTTATGCTAAAATGCATCGCAGTCGTCGAGAGTATCAGTTGTCCTCCATAGCTTCATGTCGACTGCAAACAAGGCACAGGGTGACCGAAAAAGCCGAGGTATTTCCTTTATGTGAATCAGGAACAAAAAGAACTTCCAGTATTGTGCCTTAGTGTAACCCACAGGTGACCTGTTGCCAGTTCGTTAGATGATCACGTATTTTTGCACAGGAAGGAATTTACTGATCCGTTGGTGCAGTGAGCCACAAAAATTACACTTGTTGTCCACGTTATTCGGGTAACTGTCTACTGGAATCGGCTTTACTATCGAACATTTGCAGTCACTCGGTCTTGCGTAAAATGCTAACTGGAAGTATGAAACGATATAATTCCCTCACATGATGATGATATGTCGACAACACTAATGTACACTGATGCGCGTAAGGCCTTTGATCGGATTCCTCATGAATAACGAATACGTAAACGGGTTTAATGCGGAATCGGTGAACCCATGCACACAACTTACAAATCGAAAGCGTTTGGTTCAAGTTCATTAAAAGAACGACGAGTCATTAGCGTTGTGAGGCAAACAGTATCTTTGGATCGCTACCGTTCCTAATATATGTTAACGATACCTTCGATTTAATAAAATTCGGCACACCATACTTCTTTGCCGTTGACACCAAAATCGTATACACTTGCCGTCCGGACGTATCCAGTGATGTTGTCAACATGATCCACTTGAAATCCATATGATTAAAGCCAGGTGCTTTATATGGAACACGTCTATCTATTAACCAAGATGCAACATCCCACAAGTGCGATTTTACTCTTAACTGCCTGACACTTGATGGCTAACTAATTAATCTCTGTCCTACGGTAAGTTAGTTGGGCTCAAGATTTGCGTGCGCACTTAAGTGAACAAGTAGGAGATGCCACCTTGAGGGCAAGTCAGGACATTTATCGATATCTAGGACTTATTCCCTACTTGAGAAAAAATTCCTGCCTTATGTAGCAGTTGTTCGATCTAAGTTGTAACATTTTCAGTGCTGTATAGCAGCTAAATGAGCTTTAAAGCATTTCATCGGTACAAGTACATAAAGCATTCACAAAGCGTCCTCTGGACGTTTTATTTCAAGTGGGATATTAAAACCAAGATGATAAGCTCAAGCTTAATATGTAGTGGCTGCGGCAAATTAAGTGTAAGCTAGTCATATTTTTCAACATGATGCAAAACAATATGCACGTTTCCACCATCGACATGACATAATTGCTATTAGTCCTCTGCAATACGCGAAGTAAACAGAACTGTGGCGGAATGCAAGTCCATTACCAGCAGGTCTGCGGTATTTTGCATTTAAAAGTCTGCCTCAATCTGGGACTAGACTCCAAACAGAATAGTTCCGTGCCCCCAAACATGAATTTCGCAATAGAATCAAGAAGTTCATGACGACGGAAAGTGATCAAGCAGCTTGTTTTAGCCATAAGAAAAAACCAAGCACACAAGCTGGGGTCAGATTTTAAATTACCCAGTTCACGTGGTTTAGCTGTTTCGTAATTAGAGATGTGAGAGAACGCTTAATGGGCAACTAACATCATTTCGTTGCAGTCAGCCAATTGCATTCATTCCAAAGCTCAGTATTTGATTTGGTTTATAAATTTTCCGATCCACCTGTGAACTACGTTCCATTCAGATGTGTACACTATCAAATATTGCAATACAGCTGTACCTCGCATTGTCTAGAATAAACATAGTATTCACTTTTTATAGTGTTTGAAGGAAAATACTATTCTCAACTTAAACATAATGCACTAAACCCGTGTTCTGACGTTCTGATGGTTGGTGAAAAGAATCGTCTTGATAAATTGTTGCCAAGCTTGTTGGCTTTTAGAATTCATTTACATCTGTTGTAACAAAGACATCAGACCAATTAACAATTTTGGCATTTATTTTCTTAACAGTTTAAGGTTAGTTAAGGGATGACATTTTCAATAATCTGTGTTGCACCCCGCTTTTATTTTTTGCCGTATATCACGCTGCGCTTCAAAAAAGGAAATGTTTTAGTATGTTCAACTGAAGTTTCAAATCCTGAGTAACGTTTAATGCGCTGCAAATTACAGATGCTCCTGAACTGGCGGTCCCCGAAGAGGCACCGATTGATGTCAACCTGTCCACCGGTCTGGATGAAGCACAGCAAGCCATGGACCACCATTTAAGCTGCAAGTATCACATTTATTTAAGCAAATGGATATCGCGGAATAACAGACCGCTGGAGGATGAACTGCATCACTTGGATGTCAGTGACTAATTTTGCTTGTCTTATTTTGTCATTGAAGGTATAAAATTAATTGCAATCTTTATTCGGCCTAAGATAAACAGCGTGCTCGACATTGAAATGGACATTTTTAACTAAGAGTCGTAATAAAAAGTTGAATCAGGTAAGCATGTTAAACAATGCAGCTAGAATACATAGGCAATCAGTTAAAAAATATGAATATTCCATTTATCCGATGCCTGATGCTGGGCGAATTTTCCTCTGAAAATAAGCAACGACACAAAGTGAGCTCGGAATTCTAAAGCCATTCGTAGGTCCTTTAAATTTCGACGAATTTTCCAACATATGAACTTGGCCACGCTACGAACACAACATGAAAGTCTTACTTGCTCCTTAGGCCAGTTGATTTAATTGGAAATACTAATTATCCTCATTAGAATCCACTGATAATATTCGTTTCAGTTGAGTCAAGTTCTGTCCACTACTAAGTCAACCTTTTGAGGTCGGTGTGATGCAACCTTTTATATTTTAATATTGATACGGTTATATACAGAATTAATATATGTGACAAGTATACATGTGCAGTCAATGCTTACTACTCATCACGTTATGCGTTTTCGAGCAAGCGGTCTGCACAGAATGTGGGTTTCACACTTTCTACCTATACACGTTTTATTCTTTGGGATTGATGCCAGTAATTTAATGGGTTTGTTTATGAAACTGTGAAGGGAGCTTTTTTACCCGACTTTTGAGTCTGAAGGTGTATTTGCTAAGATACGCATTTGCTATTGAACCACTTGTTTGTTCACGCAATAAGAATATGCTGTCAATGCTGACCTCGATTATGGTTATTTACCAATTCAAGTGGGCCGGTGGCGCTACTTATATCGGTCGAATAGCAAGCCACTTATCCAAGGGCGTGAAGGAGAACTGCCCACGTTAGTTTCGTCAAGCGGAACTGGGTTCTTAGCGGCGCCGTCTTGGCCCACATTTGGACACTGGGCACCAAGTTGATCTAAGGCCTGCCTTCTGGAACATTTTACAGGCTACTCCAGCATCAATCCAGAGGTCTGCGCTTCTGTGCAATGGCGACAGCTGGATCGATTTGCATCCGGTTGCGTTAACCTTCTTTATGCTCGCAAAAGTAGTTGATCCAGCATCTTCAGCTTTCCTAGACAGTGAGAAGGAAAAATGCTGAGGTCGACTGACACAGATAAAGCTCGATAATAGGCAATCTACCTGCTAGGTCAAATATCGACTTTTAGCCTCCCACACAGACCTGCAGATGAACTGTAGAATTCGAGCCAATGCGTCGATTTTAATTCCCTCTTTTAACATTAAGTATGATTCTAATGGGCTGAACATGGATCATCGAAAGCAACTATTCACCTAGGATTTCGTGTTTTTGAATGCTAAATGGGAATTTTTAAGTTGCTCGAAATCTTTCTTACTTTTATGGTGAAAACAAGCTGACTGTTCCAACCGTTTAAACGTGGTATGTTGATGGGTGACGATATGAATAGCTACCACTAAGTAACGTACATAGTGAGATGCTGGTGCTTAATAAAGAAAGGATACTCTGTTTCTTAGTCAGATATTCTCCAGCTTATAATCCTGGGAGGCAAATTACATTGTTTTTCCCCCACTTACTCTACGTTGTAGTTGGCCATGGAAGCACTCAACAAATCATCAAATTTGGCACTCACTAAGGCGGAAATATACGCCACTTTGAGAAAGAGCGATCTACTGCTGCTACAAGCCTGCAAAAGTCAAAGTACCAAGGAATTTTGGCAGGATGTCGTGATTCAAAGAGTCAAGTCGCTGATAAACTTTCGGAACAGATTACTCTCTGAGGTTAGTTGTAAACTTATGGCCTGCGCACAATTTACACTGGTTTGTAACTTGGTAGTTTTTGCCAAAGACCTATTTAACTGTTGACTACGCTATTGCATTTATCAGACGGAACAGCAAGTGTGCACACCTTGATTCATTATTTTGTCTAAGTTTTGTCGTCACGATTAGGACGTTTAGGGTGACATCACTGCATAACACTGACGGTGCAATCTTCAGTGCACCCGGATATTTACCAAGCGGATAAACGTTGTGGTCCTCTACATTCCTCATCCCGTATGGTGGCCCAAGTTGGCGGGCAGTAGTGAATAAACTTTCTGTTTCAGCCATACGTGAAAGCCAGAGTCAAGTTTGATAAATATAAGTAAATTCTAAACATGTTGGATGGAACGCTCTGTATGGTAGTACGAAATGAAACTAGAGTAGCTATTGATTTGGATCTGGAAAATGTCCAGCAGATAGGGAACTGAAAGTACAGCGCTCCTTGTGTAAACTGTATATTTTTGAGTATCCTGAGCTTTGGCCGACAAATTAGGAAGTGTTAAAATGCGGTTAACCATGTGTAGAACATTATGACCGATAGTAAGCTTTAACTTCTTGGTCGACATCACAATTTTTCATGTTGGATGCATGTTATCAAGAAAGAGGCAAAATTAAAACCTGTCCACTACCAGTGGAACTATAGAACAATGTTGTTTTGCAACCAGAATGTAAAGACATTAACAAGAACGGCAGGATACTCGGAGTGAGAACCAAGTAATAGGAAAATTAGACTGTAGGAAGAAACAAAGAGCTTTGGCGTACTTGCCATTAGGTTCTCGCGGAGGCACGCGTAATGTAGTCTGCTATGACTGAGTAGGTGATTGCTATTGATTGCGCCGTTTATCCTAACGCAATGAGGCTGGACCCTTGCCGTGGTAAGATGGTTTGCCTGCTTCAGAGATCCATTGAGCTTTGCTCCGTGGTGCTTTTTTGCACTTTCAGAGCCACTCATACCCGATTAGTCAATGGGTAGAGGCCAGAGAAAATCAGCCTCCTGGTCCGTCAGATTAGAGGTTGGAATAAGGGTGGCTCCTTATTCCTTAAAACGGACTCTTACCCACTGCTTTTCAGTCAGGTTTTGGAATCAAAGGCTTTGGTTGAGAACACTAATCGTTCTCCTGTTTAATCCTGGGAGACCTGACAGTATCCTGCCTACCTAATAATATGAATTCTTCACCAACCAATTTATTGATGCTCTGGCCACCGCAGGGGATAATCAACGGTGCCCTATCTGCTTCATCGAGCAGGGTGGATAGGTGTTTGGATGCTACTGCTCAAGCCTTCCCATCTTCTTATTCCCCGTCTTACGGGTTTTACTCTTACCGTCTCATTCCAGCTTCACTAGTATCCCCCCTGTTTTCAAACCCCAATACTTGGCCGTAGCCCGCCTTGCTTTGATAAGCTTTTACCTGTTAGTTTCGACTCACATGGAAACGCGGAGCTTCATTCCTGTCCTGTCGACAAGCCCATGTCCAAGGAAGCAGCCAAGCCCAGTTCTTTGGCTTCCATTTGGAGCCCTCGATCATCCTTTAGATTGGCATACCTCAACGTACGCACATTGCTACAACTCGGTCAACAGGCAGCAGTTGCTCGAACATTAGAGAATTTTTAGATCGATATCTGCTGCTTATCAGAGACCCACTCGCAAGGCTCGATCTATGTGCTCACTTTACGATCCCCTTCTGGTGACACCAGCAACACTTTCCCATTGTGCTTATCCGGTGACGATGCAGCTTCGAGCATGGGCCAAGCCGGTGTTGGTATTGCCCAGAGTCCCCGGGCTACAGCTGCTCTGGTTGATTGGATTCCAATCAGTGACCAGTTTTGTGCGGTCCAATTGGCTGCCTCGTACAAAGCTTCGAAGCCTCTCGGGGCTAACAGGTGTGTATTCGTCATCCCTGCCTACGCGCCCACAAACTGTAGTGATGATTCGGTAAAAGCCAACTTCTATCGCCAACTGAATGAGCTGATTCACTACAGAAGAAGCTGGGACACTGTTGTGCTGGCTGGGGATCTGAACTGCAGCTGGGCGGCCAACATGGTGTGGGCCCCCCGTACTGATACCGGGGAGCGCTTATTTCACTTGTGTGTAGATGCTTGCTTATTTCTTACGGGCCCTAATTTCCGACAGAGCACCTGTCCTAGGGTGACTTGACACCCAACTGCCTCGAACCAACTATGGACGCAAATCCATCACATGGCGATAAGTTACCGATGAATAGGCTACGTCCAGAACTGTCGCTCAATTTGGAGCACATATGTGGACACCGACCATGCCCTTGTATTTGCTGACCTACGGATGCGTTCTGACGGAAGCCCACGATGACGTTGTGAGCGCATTGACACCAGCCAACGGACAAAGCCAGCTGTTCTGAAAGCCTATCAAAATACGCTAATATGCGAGTTGAGTAAGCGCTCACTGGAGGCAGTTGAAGCTCACTAGTCTTATATTTACCAGACCTTACTAGCGGCAGGAAATTCCTCATGTAGTAAGTCTAATCGCCAACATGGTTATTGGGTCTCTTCACAGTCTCTAGAACTTATCGATGCTCGCCGGTATATCCCGGCTGGAAGCGTACACAAGGAAACTCGCAAAGAGCTCCGGGCAAGACGCCGTGCTAGCCTGAAGAGAGACCGCGAATCTTGGTGGTCCCACGGTGCGTCAGGGATGGAAGTGGCCGCTGCGCTTGGCAACCATCGTAACTTATTCCGTCTGCTACGGGAAACGGGCAACAGGAGACCTGATATAGTGAAAATATATGTGACGAGAGTGGACAGCCAATCCACAATTTATCAAAACGCTTGGAGCGCAGGGCTGAGCACTTTGAATTTTAATTTAATCGATCGGAATTGTTAGATTTCTCGCCGGCGACTGATCGCCCCGCTCCGTGAGTTGTTCCTTTGGATCCACCCTCTTGCTCAGAAGTCGAACGTGAGGTCGCACAGTTGAAGTTAAATAAAGCCGCGGGACCAGATGATCTACCACCAGCCCTCTTCAAATTCGGGGGACCTGCTCTTGTGGATGATTTATACGAATTACTAGTGAAACTGTGGGAGCAGGAAACTGTCCCAACCGACTGGAGCCGCTCCGTCATAGTCCCGATTTTCAAGGGAAGCTCACGATCGGAATGCAGCAACCACACAAGAATCAGTCTGACCTCCATCGCCTCCAACTTGCTTGTCTCTGTCATTCTTTGCAAACTGACTGACACTCGTAAAATCCATGTTTGTGTTCTCTGTTTCACTATGCGATTAAGTTTCTGCAAACATGGTTGGGATTCCTCAAGATCTGGAGGTCATTATATGTTACACCTAGATGCTGATACTGGCAACTGTAAAATCTTAGGTTCCTCAGTCCATGCTGATATGGGAAGCGGCTCAATATCTTGGAGTGCATAGTGGCTGTTTCTTGTGGAGTCTTAAGCGCGGAGAGATGTCGATTCACTCAGGAACTCTACGCCTGGGTGGCGTATACCTCAAGAGGTTTCATGTATGTGTTAGGCATCTTCTTACAGACTGATGGATCTACCGTTAGAAGCATGGTAGATGATAGACGTACTTTGTACTTTTATAGTATTAACCCCATACATCCTACGGGACTTGACAAACACTTGATTTTAACCCGTAAAATCTCTTTTCTTTGTTAATTGTTTTCGAACGCTTTCTGTAGGATACTGAGGTATTGGTTCTGAGTCGTTTATCTCATCTCCGATGGGTTTGTGTAGCTGATTAGTTTTATTTCGTACCCGGTGGTTGGGCTTTTAAACGAAAATGCCTGAGAAGCGGTTTCTGTCGAATGCGTTTATGTTAATGTTGCCGATAAAACAAGGTGTTGCTGAGAAGATAAGCCCCCTACTCTTTTCCCTTATCCCAAACCCTATCGGGTTGCATGACATAGCTAAGGCGCAGCTGAGCTGTATGTGTGACCAAATAGCTAAATCCATTTTAAGTAGATCTGTGGAGGAGTACACATGACGAAGCTTCAAGTAATGCATTTAAAAAAGCATGCAGGTGGTAGATAGCCAAATATTTGTTCTGAGCATTTTACATTATCTTGTTTCTATCAATGTGCCAGCTAGCACAGCAAATTGAACTATTCATGAATGCTCCTGCACTGAACAGTTAAATATTTGACATATGTATGGAGCTAAATGTCAAACCAAATCCGCTGCGATCTTTTCCAAATAATCAATCTAAGCAGAGCTACTGTTCTCTCAAATGTATTATACATAAGCATGAGTAAAAGTCGAATAAGAAAAGTCCCTAAATCTTGCTGTTGGATGAATGGTCATCTCATTATGTACAAGTGTAAGTTGGTTCCTCATGGTCGACAATTTGAAAAGTATTCTGTGGTGTTAGCCAGTGTACTGCTAAAACTACGAGTTTACGAGTAACTGTAATATCAGAAAACATTTTGGCATTTTTGAAAGAGGCTGATGTTTGGAACTTAGCATATCATTCAGCAGTTTTGGTGTTAACAAAAAAACCTGATCTCCACTTTTCCTAACTCCGCTGTGTATGGAAGCTGTTCACGTGTCATACGTTTTATTTTAATTCTACGGTTAAATACCTGAGACGCGATGGTAAGTGACTGCTCAACATGCTTGGTAAAATGCTTTAGGTCGGATTAATTTGCGTGCTAACTGGATAGAAACTCTTAATTCAAAGTAGTTTATGTGAGGACCGCTGGGAATCCCAGCACCGCGGATAGGTTCACAAACGTAAGAGCGCTGGGTCTCTACTGAGCGTCCGTTTATGCCATTGTATTAAACGCAGACCAAATGATTGTGTGCAACGAAGTGTTTGGTTGAATAAATACCTTTTTCATGTAATTGCTTGCGACTAAGATTTCTTCCAATGCCTTAAGTATGCCGTAAAATTCTTGTTTGCTACATCCGAAAATATGTTGGTTGCACAACCTTCAAAAGGTTATTTGTTATGAAGTGCGGCAGAAAAGCAGTGCTAGTAGCGTGACGCACTCCTTAAAGCTTCACAAAACTACTTAAAGTTATGCACAATAACTAGGCGCAATATTAAAGTATTACTCGACGAGTGCTTCACTATGAAACAGACTTTGCAACACGCACCGTCATGGCGGAAAAAGATTGATTGCATAGACCTATACTTTCATGACATTACGGTGAATGTAACTTCACCAGAATTATTCGAAGAATTACTTCATGATAATGTACTAGATGGTTGATTTGTTTTCTTGTCATACAGGTGCCATTCATTCTAAATGTATTTTTGTTGCAAAGAATTAACTTATAAAATATTACAAAAGTAAAACTGGATTTAACGCCTTTCGGATTGTTGATATTAATATACCAAGTGTCGGATGTCACAACTTTGTCTAGTCGCCAGATGCATAATGTTTCAAACACTACGATTTACGGTACACTACTTATTACCATACTTTGCTCACAATGGTATAAGTTAGGAACTGAAATTTGGGAAACCATTCTTGACTCAAGTACTGCAAAACCTCCGTAGTTTATCACCCCTTTAATTTCAGCGTTTTATTTTAATTGCAATAACGTTCACCCTGGAAACCTTCTGGATCCAAGTCTCTTTAATAGTTAAATTACGGATTCATCGGTGAATTTAAAGTTATTATATTTTACCTTTCAATTATACTGGTAGAGGGCAACTATTAACGGATCACATTTCATTACATTATAAATGCCTAAATTGTAAAAGATATCTGGTTACATTAATTCTGACTGAATTCGCTAACCTCGAACAATAACATGGGTTCGAGAGACCTGATATTATATAAACATTTTCAGCGTCTTGGAGTTATTTTTAAGAGTAAAGAGTAAGAACCCAACAAAATTATGTGTTAACAACCTGCGCATTTCTACTGGTGAGACCAATAGATTTGATAACTTTTCAGAATAGCAAATCAACCGCCATTTAGTTATTTATGATTAGGAACACTTTTCACGCAATATCCATGAATGCAACACAGCAGTGCACAAGTTAAGTAGCCTTATCATCACGCAGAAAAGGCGCCACGTGGACGTTTCCGTCCAGTGGAACTGGGCAGCGGTGGACATCCACGGCTGCATCAGGGACCGAATTCCTGACTCCGAGTGCCTTCCACCAGGGAGCCAGCATCTTACGTTACTAAGCCTTGGGAAGCGGCAGCAGATTGTCATGGATTACAATCGAAAGAAGATATAGCGCGACACATCCTAAACAAACTCACCGGCACACGCCCCTGCTGCAGCTGGCCTTCATTAGCTAAAGACACCCCAGATAGCAGCTACGTACGCGTAACACAGGAAGAGTGCTAATCAGATGCAATAAAATCATGTCCTTTCAATTTTATTGAAGAATATCCCCTTAAAGGTATTCTCTTAGGGTCACACTTATGTTAATACGGAAGATAACTTATAGCTTGCTATAAATTTATAAATTTTCGATAAGTATTTAAGCGGAGTAAATGCCAGTGGTATTATTTGGTCCCTTATCGCGTTGTGTGAGGCGTGTGAAAGCATACTACAGAGAAGTTTCAGACGTTCTTTGCAAGGCAAATAGATCGAAGGTAAAAATAATTAACTGGTCATATTTCTCACAGCCCTTCCGATTACCAAAGAAAGTTGGTTGGCTGTTTGCCATTGCAATCGGTAGTACATATTATATACTTTATATAACTGCATTTAATTAAAAAGAGTTACTGCTTAGGTAAGTGTTTAACTGGCAAATTGCAAGCCTTGGTGAGCAGACGTTTCGTGATGGTGTCCTCGGTTTCACCATGAACAAATTGATTACCTCCATATTGATCCTGCTGTGTTTCAAGTTACCCATGTTTATGTATGTAGTTATAGGCGTAAGAGATTAATGAATTCGACAGACTTTTACTTATGCTCTGCTTGTGTTTTAGTTACCCAGAGAGTGGCACCCAATAAACTTTGTATTCTCTGAACGTGAACCGAACGACTCGGGCAAATTCATCAGGGCTACCTACCTTTGGCGTCCATACAGTGTTGTTTGGACCGGACTTTTGCAAACGCAGATGCGTATTGGACTTTGTTTAGCCAAGTTGGCCACTCATATCTCATCGGTGAACTCACAAGCTCTAGACAGTCCCGAAAAATATGGGGGGTAAGCAAATTTGTTTCATACAACTATTTGGTTGATCACTCGTTGCAAGCTAAGATTAATTACTTCAACTGGATCCTAATAAACAGTGCAATTTGTAGTCTGTGTCGGACATTACTACAATACATACACCTGATTCTTCCATACACCAACGACATCGGTAACCAAGTTACTTGAGCTTCTTTTCAAATTTAAGCGCCATGTAATCCTAAATGTAACTACAGATAACGGGTGATAGATATAAATATTTGGGTTTAGCAAGTTGTGCTCGATCAGCTTAACATAGCAAATTACTTCTGACCACCCTAAAATTCGCCAAGTCGAGAAAAATTTCCTCCATTTTCCATTTCAGCGGAAGTAAATGTTATTTAAATTTTAGTAATAATTGGGTGATTGTTTTAGTATAATTATATGTAGGTAGGCATTTATCTGTGGTGAATATTCTAACAAAATGGATTTAAAACTCAGTAAATCGCTTTAATACTGTGGCTGGTACGTGAACGGATAAACAGGCACGTTGCTACATGCCGTACGATTCTTTCTACAGATTTTATAACTGCATAATTGGCAAGATGGCCTGAAGTTTTAACAGGCTTTTACGTTAAAGGATTAATTTTTGGCCTACCAGAAGTTTTCTAATGGCTGTTAGCTGGATTATGCTGTGGTAATACATGCTGTTCCTACTGGCACCATTTTGCCTCCAGCGAAATTTAACAGTTCATCCGTATGCATCAGCAAATCTTAAACATCCTGATCAGGTAGATGTTAGGCGTACAATATTGGAATCTGTCGACTTCCAAGCTCTAAGCAGACAGCAGTGTACTGTTTACTTTTTCAGCACCTGGAGCATTTTAATCCTAGCAACAGGGTTCTTTGAATGCATCACACGCAGAGGATGTTTACCTCAGATATTTGTGTATTATGCGAGTTCGGGGGGCACGAGTCGGCAGTGACTTCAAAGTCGAAGTCACCTGCAGCCGAAACTGATAAGGTGCTACTTTTAAACAAGTGGATAGGAGTCAAAGGCGAAGTTTTCCATTCTTTTAGTGGATCTATATGGTGGGAGCCAATAATAGTTACGCTAATGGTAGAATACATATAACCTCGAAAGTATTTGGATGCTACTGCCAGTGAAGATGACTGGTAAGCGCGATTGGCATAAATATAACAATCTTTCATAGAAACAAACTCTTTGCAATCCGTTCCTGACTGCTATGTCTTCAATTGTGAATGCAAACTTTACAGTTAGAAGGAATGCAAGTTGTCCGCTGCTTTTAGCTTGAACGTTCTTTAATGGTCCTTGCAATTTGAGTACTACAATAAACATCTTCTGGCTGGAGTCAAATAGCAATGCGTTGAATTCGGCTATGCGCTGTTCTCTTGGAATAAAAATTCAGATGTTGTTCAACGTCTGTGCTCGTTACTAAGATTTACTACACGCCTTTTGCCTAACCACTGAACCTCAGTAGCTGGTTGCTTTATACAATACGCTCTAATTTAGTAAGGGATGATTCAATTTTTTACGAGGAAGTTGCATTTTGCCTTGTGTACAACTATGCCATTTCAGATGGGCTCAAGAACTTGCGTCGACTACGGTGAATCTTTGCTACCAGGCCCTGGATACGCTTCAAACGGCGGAAAAACTAGCGCTGATGCTTCCCAGGAGACAAGCTCACTGCTTAACTGAATTGAATTTGGCAAAGGGTTGGTAATTCAATTTCGCAACATTTCCACGTAGCTCATTAATGTAATTTTAATGGCGAAACGATGCACTCGATTTCGCCATAAAAACACACAAGTTACTGATGAGATATACAGCACAGATTAATTTGGTTGGGTCCAAGTTGTGAGTATGCAATTTATTCACACTGTATACTAATGCAGTACCGTATACGGTATAAATAAATAAATAAATAAATGGTATATTCCTCGGTGATTCATGGTGCAGTCCAACTATGTGGTGGTAGAGTGAAATGTAAGCTGGTTCAGTTGCGGCGGGTGGAACCGCCTTGTCAACCAAAGCATGAACTAGCAAAACGCTATTTACTTGCTTTTTCGGGAATCTTCAACCACGAGCATTCTGTCGGTGTTATCGGAAACCGATATCGTAATTCAAATTCGCTCCTCATACTTTACCGAGTCATGGGCCAACGGTAAAGCAGTACGCTGGTATTAAATAATATATCCTCTATTTCATTTCAGGGTGAACCTGAGTGTGAAATTAAGGTTCCTGTTATTTTTGTGGCGGCGAATCTATGGGCCATGCACCTAAGCCATACATCGCTTTTACTAGTATTTGAATGTGTTGACTGGAGCATGACAAACGTTGTTGTATTTGTGTTTTCTAAAGCTAGCATATTACATGAAAGTGCGCACGAACAACCCCGACTGTGCAATTGGTACATGGAACTATAGTGTTATGTGAATGTGATTACCAAGGCTACCTTTTTTACTCGTGCTGATTGTATTCGTTTGTCCTGGATTATACTACGTATAAGATCCTATCACTTAACACTTTATAGCTGTCTGTGTTTATGCTTACAGTAGTTAGTGTCTCGAAAAGACATCATTTCCTGATGTGGGAAAACACACATAGAACAGTGCCAGCTCTGTATGTCGACTATCTGTGATTATCTATAGGAACTGCGCCTAAGTACATGATATTAGTCTAATCGGAATTATCGACGTTAAAATGCTTTATTCTAAGGGGAAGTTCTTTAGTTTGCAGCGCGGTCTAAAACAGAGAGAGAAAGCAGGGCAACTACATTACTTCTCTGTTTCCTATCCAGTAAGCAGCAACTAATAAATTCGGTATTAAATAAATTTCGATTTGAAGTTCATTGTTACCGAGCTGTGCATCTTGTATGTACTTCACACGTAATGCTCTCCACACTTTATATATTACAGGTGAAGTATCAATGACACTCTTCCTTATGAGAAAAGAAGCTTGGATGCCTTCGATGCAGATGTTTTTTAACGCTGTCGATTTATCGGCTCACGTAACCGGAGACGGAAGGTGAGTATGAGGAAAGTTTTCTTCTCAGTGTTCCTGATTCTCCGCTGTTCCTTCTTCTCACAGTAGGAAAGAGCTTAATAAAAACTGATATTGCTTAAGGGTAGCGCGAATAGCTCGTAGAGTAAAAAGCTCACGGCTAAAAGGTTGGCATCGCCAACGATACTACCAATAACCGCGAGTTTTCAAAGGTCAAATCAACTAGCCCGTGGGCAAACGTCAAGTGATAATTAAAGAAGTGCAAGTTAATACGCAGATATCTTGAATGCTAAAATTTATTCACGGTTTGTAACCGCTGTATGCGCTCCCGTTGGTGTTTCCATCTCCTCTAGTTGGTAAATGAGCTCTAATCAGAATTTTTATTGCCGGATAATGAAAAATATGTATTGGGAGAACCTCTCATTGTATGCTGTTTAAATTGCGAAAAATGGGTATTTAGGCTGCTTTTTTTAACGGGTTGGGGATGTTTGTGCAAGGTATATGTAATGCAAATTTTGGGTCTTTCCGCACATTAAATTTCCAACAAATAAGGTTGAAACGATGTTAGTGTGAACGAAGTGCTTGGTTAGATACTTTGCAACTAGCAAGCCATGTGTTTTACATTTGCCACTTGCTCTTAATAAGCCGCTTTTATGTTAGATGGTCGTGCGCGAACCCATACTAAAAAGCATCATCAAGATAATTAGATAGATGTAAAATTCTCAAAATCCAGTCAGTTGCAAGAGAAAATATTACGACCTCAGGCTTTTGAAACATTTATCTGCTGGTGAAGTACATAAATATTTTAGAAACAAAGCAGTAATAAGTGCACGTAATTGCAGGACAAAACCATTTAAAATAGTAAAGCTAACAATTAAGTACATAAACTTTTGGTCCATGTTGGGAGATGTAGATTATAGTCACAAGGAAATTCCCGAATGAACAGGATTCATTCCTATACTTACTTTCCAGTATTGAATTTTTCAGACTTTTCTAGTTTTTTATTAATTAAAAGCACACACTCTCTTGAAAACAGCAATGGAAGGTTACGTTTGTAAAAGTTAGTAAGCTGTGCTTTGATATATTTTCTCATAAGTTCGGGGAGTATAACAATGTGCTCGTCCACAGAAGTGGCCGTGTAAATATTGCTTTTTCAGAATTTCGCCCAACTAGAACAATTCGTAGGTGTTCACAAGTGTATGGGCTGTGGTGAAACGCAAATATACCAGTTACATTGAGACGGATATTTAACATATAATGACTCGCTGAAATCCATAAGTAGGTGGAGCAATGGTAAAATTGTTAATATTTTATCGATATGCATTCCTTGGTTTTAGTTGTTAACAAAATTAATATATTTCGTTTCATCTCCTTTACTATGCGTCAAGTGTCATACAGCCCCAAAACTGTCACCATAGATGGAGTAATTGACTGAAAGTCAGGGAGTTTTGTCCGTTGGTAATTAAATGCGGGTCACAGAACAGAAAATTAGCAAAAGATTTTAGGCTGCACTGGAGTCCTTAATAAAGTGAAAGAAGTGTAATTATTTCATGCAGCGAAGTGGAAGTACAAAAAATAAGAAACGAGCTAATAGATATGTAAATTGCCAGTTTGTGATTGTATGTCCTATGTAAAAACTAACTTTCAATATGAAGCAGTAGCAATACAAGTGACGGAGTATAAAAACAAGAAATAGGAATAAACAAGTGTGTGCGCAAAGACTATATTTGACCACTGGGTACACCTGATTTTTACAACTCCCAACTCTACTGTATTGTGCACTGATGGACGTCGAGTCACTCAAAGCAAAAAGTTAAGGAGACGGTTAACCATTCTAACGGGTGGCAAACTGGTTATGTGCACTATATTAACTGTTCCTGGACCACTAGTAAATAAGGTCTCCGTGGTTGCCTTTCATCAAAATAATTTTGCCGCATTTGGTAGCATGAGGAATGAATCTTGTTTTGTTTTGAAATAAATAGCTGGAATGCATTTTCCCTTCCTAGCGTGACCATTTATTTCGTAACATTAAATAACGCATTTTGAGAGTGATGTCACGTAGTTGCGCCATAAACTTAGTTTCGGGGAAAGACAATTTCTGTTCCTCACATTGTTTTCGTCACCCACCCAAAGTCTCAATTCACAAATAAGACTAATGCTTATATTCTAGGGCAGCCTGTAGAAACGTACGCGGTTCATCGATATATGGTAACTGTTCTCTGCTGTGGCATGTTTATAGTGCTGACCAATCCATAAGATGTTAACTAAATACCCCTGCAAAGGCCAAAATAAATGTAAAGCAACCATGCCTACAGGATAGCGTAATATCCAGCCGTACTCTAAAACAATTAACTCAAAAGAAAATGAATTACGATTACCTTTAATTCCAATAATATAATACTGAACAGGCCTGGAATGTGATTTGCATTATAAGGCTGATAAAGCGTTATGGCTAATTACAATGCAGCAGATGAGCTGAGTGACGTGAAGCGGCTCCAAGGCACGGCCTAATTTATCTGCTGAAATGGTATATTTATTCCAGGAGTGCTGGATTCCTATTATAAGCCATTCACTAGAATCAAGATCGAAGGAACTGTGGTAAAGTTAATGGTATTTATCATCGGTGTAGAGATTCGGTTGAAAAGACGGTGCGTTTTCCATATACTTATCAAACATAGTGACTGCCTCGATTTCAGCGTTATTGTAATATCGTTGACACGTGTGAGGGGCAGCATTGAATAAAAAGTCCAGCACTAGAGAAGTTTGCTTTTTGTTACTTTGGTTTTTTCTGCCAATCGACCTGCAAGATGTTTCTTGTCTGTTCAGGAAAGCGGTAAACCAAAACAGAAATGTCTTGTGTTCCACATACCTTGCCTTTTAATGACATCATATACGAAATAATCATACATATTTACTTTTTGAGTGCAAGTTGCAGAAGATGCATATTATAGGTAGAATTCATAGAATTTACACTCGATCAGACAGCCAACACATTCCCGGAAATGCACTGTACTGCTGTTACATTCATTCAGAAATCGTCAGCATTGCACAATACATCTGATCCGCATAGGGCAAGAACGTGCACTTCTACTGTTGCCAATCTGTGGCTGAGACCATTGAGCTACGCGATAAAACGACCTTCGTGACGGAGTTACCAGATCGAATATAGCGTCGCCTAATCTATACTGACTTGTACGTTACTACCGTGCAGATGACAGGGTAGTCCCACACCAAACAACAAACCTACCAAACGCAAGGCCTCAATTAACTTAATGCATTTGAAGTGCTATGTTCCACGTGGTAATTCCCAAAGAATACCAGGGGAAGTTAATGGCATAGTTGGAAATGCATCATTTGGTAATGGTGCTACCATGTTTTCTGCACAGCAGTAATGTGCGAGGCAGTGGAGAGTGAGCGGCACTACATCATATCTAATAACGTAGTTTTCCGTAACTCAGTGGTCTCAGCCATAGACTGGCAACAGTATAATTGAGGGTTTGAACCCCAAAGATATCCGATGAAATGCGCACAGCTGATGATTTTTGAAAAAATGAAATAGACGAATCGTGCTTTCCCGACGTGTAATGGCTGTTTGACTGAGTTTAGTTATTATGAACCTTTACCTATACTTTCTTTTTGTTACCTGTTGCCAAAGGAAGTTTCTTGCAGGTTAATATGTTTTTGTCCATTTAGTTAACGCGGACAGATAATTAGGATATTAAAACATTATCAAACCAGTTGCTTTGTTTAATCGAGGGCTCAGTACATTTAATAAGGTAAAGTAATTTCGCGTGAAACAAAAATACTTTATTTTAACGCGGTCTATTTATAACTTTCTTCCACATAATCAGGAGTTTTTGCAGTCAAAAGGTGCCGAAGAGTGGGATTTCTAATTTTTGTTTATGTGTGACGCATCCTGTTCTTCGTTGGTGGTGGTTTGCAACTGGTATCATTTGCTGAGATTCGCCTCTGTCCAGTGGTTGAACATATATCTATCGTGGTAAAAATATCCATTGGAAGCCTTCGTGTAGGGCTTAAATGTCATCGCTTAAAAATCATCCTAATGTGAGCAGTAAATATAATTTAAAAGGCTGTTCCAGTCAACACAGCTCATAGGACTGTAACATTATGAATGATGACATGCTCCAAGAGATAGCAACACAGCACAATAACGTTGTTGTTGGTTCAGGAATGCTATCAAGAACGTGTGTTTTACCATGCGACGCGTCAAAAGTGAATGCTTGTCCCAGGCTGTTGTTTATACATACAGCAAGTGCATTGTGTTACATCAACCATCCATAATTATTACCGTCTATATATCCTATTTTGATGGTCAGCGTAAGGTAATACTGCATCTGTGGAATGTTATGTTCACCGAAAACAAGCTTCAACGCGAAGAAATATCGGCCGTAAACTGGAAGGTCTCTAAAAATCGGCTAATGCTAAATGAATAGAAGGTCGAGGGTTAGTTTCGCTGCCCACCAGAATGTCTTAATTGTTCAAGGATGCCTTTATCCGGAAGGTCCTCGACCGTGAGGAGTTGAGATTTGGTCGGCCTTGTGATCATTGGTCACGTCTAACAAAGATAGAATAGATCCCAACCTGCTTATCGCAGTGAGTTTGTGAAGCAGCTTATTGCAATGCGTTTGTGTGAACACGTCTAGTGTTTTTCAGCTACACCAAGATTTAGTACATGTGACAGATAAGTGTTAGTAACTGCACTAAATGGCTTAGGTATACACAAAATATTGCATATGGTATAAATTTTTGTAACGAAAAGGTAATTATTTTAAACTTCCATGGTTTTGCAGTATTGTTCACAGCAGCCGCTGCATTTTATTTGGAAACACTGGTGAACGTAAATTAAACTGCTGCCATTGTCACACAGGAGGTTGCCCTTATCAGGCCTAGCCACAGAAAGAGTCAGGCCAAAAACTGGTCGTCATCTGGTTGCAAACCAAAGCTGGAATGTTGCTGATTACGAGCATACTCGCTACAAGAAGCCCTCAAAATTGGTTCAGGGTCTCCTGGATTTATTCTCTTATAGAACCATAAGTGTGCATTGTATATCTCCGGAAAGAATGCTTTAAGTTACACTAGGATCAAGACTATATGCCTGGGCTGCTCTGTTATGGAAGTTGTTGCTCCAACGTCTACTGATAGGACCAATATTGTTCTCACTCATGACGAGGCGAAGCATTTGTGTGAAAGCAAAATATAACGATAATACAAGCCTTTGAGAATTTGTCTTGTATTCTGAAACTTTTTGAAATTCCATTCATTTACTCAGTTGCATTTTTATTTTAAGATGGTGAATGTACTAGAGTTCACTTAGGATCCAAGATTAATTGAGTAACAATACTTTTGTAGGTTATTGATGGAGTTTCTAATTCTTATGAAGCAATGTATGTTCTAATTTTATCCGGTTTATCGCATGCATGCAAACGCTGCACCACATTCGAGCAGGCTTCGGTTTTTTATATTTAAATTATCCTTAGACCGAGTGTAGCATTGACCTTTTCTTATTTACCAGGCATATGCCAATGTAAATGGCACAAATGATTTGGAGTCTTGACCATCCATTAGAATTCGCCAAGTCAACGCCGATTTTGGAGAACCGCATTTTGACATTGTCTTCCTGTTTCTTCCCTATTTTTTGACTGATGTTAGGAACATAAACACTTTGTGAGCATCACACTCTTGTATGGACATTCGCTACTATCTTCTCGATAGGCAACTCAACAGGGATAGAAGAGCTAGAGTGATAAATCGTGTATTTTACCAACTAACAATAAAGCAATGTTTTACTTGCTTTGTGCTTGTCTAACTATATCTGGTTAAGACAGAAAAATGTGACAACAATTCATGGGCACTGCATACAGATAAACGCCTCCACCAGAATGGCATCGAAACGTCGAAGAATGCTTAAAATAGTTAGGGTAGAAAAGGAAGAGACTTTGGGGGCGGGAATTATCACGCCGGATGCTGTTAAACTCATGGGCAAAACCACATCTAATTCTGAAAACCATGGGATGATCCGAATAAGCGGTTGATCAATGTTTTGGGTCCCATCTCAATTGCGATTAACTAAAGTTCCATAGATAATGAGTGCCGCTCTTTTGGAAAGCAACCTGTTTTAAATGCCGGTGACTACTTTGTTTCATCGGCTGATATGCGTTTGCTGTCTATAAATAATTATTCTACACGGCTCAAGCGCATTTCCATTTGTAATGAGTTGTTCATTGCGCAACGGTTCTGCGTAAAGAGAACTTTGGTCCTAACATCCACACCAACTGAAATTTAACAAATTTTGAGGCTTCAAAGTTGGACTTGGAGAATCCGCTGTGTGATTGGGTTGTTACAAGCAAACTCTATCGAGTCATCCGTTCACTTTTGGTGGACCTCGATCATTCCAATCACAAGGACCAAACGTGGAATGAAAATCTTTTGGTGTTGCTCATCCCAAAACTGTTGACCCACGACCGCTGTTTCGTGAAGATAGCCTGAGCTGGGGTGGAAATCAGAGCTTAGTGGTTCACGGCTGACGACATAAACATTATGCCACTGAGATCCGTGAGCAACGCTTGACACAGCGGAAACTAATTCAGAAAGCACATTTAATTGGTGAGGCTTATTATTTAATAGTTAGTTCTTATAAATATGCCGATAAAAGCAAAACATTACTAACAATAGATTGTTCTTCTTTAAGGTGTTTCCTCACGGCTTTCGTGGCTCGGTCATTCTGTTATCACCAGATGTTGTTCCACAAAGTTGAACGAGCGCATTTCGAGGACTTTTGTTTTTTAAGGCTGCCTCATCGAGTCGCCAATATTAATGCATGTAGATTCATGTATGATAAATATATTTCAAGCCAACTTCTGATAATATGTTATGAGCTGAACTTCATTTCCCTCTTAGCACCTTCAGCAATACACGAATTAACTAATGTTTGCTAAAACATAATCCGCTTAGAGCTAAGTGGAGGTAAGCACTGATGGTGTAGTTTGTTTTTGTATTTTTTGCGACGTATTGCATTGCATGAGTGCTATAGTAAGCATATATAGCTATCTTAAATCCTACCGTAGCTAACCATTTACCACATACTTTCAAACAGATTTCAGCACAAGGCGCTTCGAATGCTTGCTCAGCTGTGGCATTACGCCGCTCTTCGCGAGCGGTCCGAACATGTAACTTTACCTAAGCCTGAAATGACCTCCAGCATCACGCCAAGGATGAAAAGTGTTACTGTGAGTCCAACGTGGAATTCCCATTCCGCTTTCGAAGTAAAATAACTAAACCGCCTAAGATTACAATGCAACTACCCATTTTATTTTTATGCGTAATGCAAATAGCAAGAAAACGGAACCGTAACTCATTTCCTGTTACCGGGGTTTATGATAGTTCCAATGCATACCTAAACTTCAGCTGGTTATAAGTTTCAGTGATTCTCGGTTGTTTAGGGTGCTATCCACCACTATAATATAAATCTTGTTTAGCATTATTGTTATGCATTTCCATTGAGCTAATTTTGCCACAAGTAATCATGAACTATAATTTTGCGACCTTGGAAAGCAGGATGTTTGTCCCTCAACTTCACTTTTCAAAAATCATCTCCGCTTTCCTTATTCATCATCCAGTACGATAATTTACGCGCCACTGATCGATCGGCAGTATAAACCAAATATATCGTACAAAGAAATACATTCATTCTGTTTAAGTTATGATATTTATTTCTTAAGGGGCCACGATTATTCATACTCTACAGCTTATCCCACTTGTGTAACCTACACCGATCCAAGTTTGAATTGTGAGAAATGCTGTAGACAGATCGGACAAATAGCACCGCCAATGAAAAGCGTAAATTTCATTTAAAAGGCAGCAAAAGGTTGGACAATTACTATTGTAGCCCAACGATCAGTGTTCTGCAGGTATTCCAAAGCGGAGAACGAGGATGCCTAAAAATTATCTGCAGGAAGTTGCTCACTTTAGACTAAACAGTCTATTCACACTTCCTAGAAGCTGTTCATTAACAAATTTAGGTCAGTGAATGCAGCTGCTTTAGAATGCAACCTCCCAAGTTTAACAGGCTCTATTCATTCGTAAGGATAAGTAGACACAATAAAGTCAATCTACAAAGATCACCATTTTATGTAAGTTTCCATAACTCCACGGAATGATTGCTGAAGGCAGTGTATGCAAGAAATATAGTCATAACAAGCTGATCTAGGAGAGAAAGTTTGTCACAAGTCTAAGCAACTTCACACTTTAGTTGACTAAATGGTACATGCAGCAACAATCTGTAGTGGCAAACATTATGGAGACTAGTTCAAACAGCGCACCGTGGTCAGTACTTGCTTTCCTTCGATATTGAGCTTTAAACTCATTATTTTTGCAGGAAAAACATCAAGTTAACAATCACTTCAACATTTTTCAACGAGAATTTAAGGAGGAAAACTGTCTTTGCATAAGCGAAGCTTCTGTAACACATAAAATTGCCTATCTAGGACACTTCGTATGATTGTAGCCAAATAAAGAAACAGTATTCTAGGTGACATAAAGATGCTGCTTCCCATTACACGAAATCGGCAAATACTAAATAAATTTTATCAGGTTTCAATTCGCGAAACCAACTTGTGTGCTCCGTTTGGTGTTTCTTGTCCAACAAACCCCCAACATCACCTAAGTGTAATGGTAACGTATTAAGGAAGTATCACACAATGTCACATATTTTGTCAGTCTCCAAATTTGTTTAGGATATAATTGCCGAATTATTTACTTATCTTTAAGTGGGAGACAACAGTTTTTTAGATTGGTATGTAGTTTACCAGTATCTGCAATGAATGGTGCGATAGATTGTAACAGTTATGCATCCTGAAGACATGGGATCATTTGCGTTAAGCTTTTTCTTTATGACCCCAAAGAATTGCATTGGGTAGAGTGCAGAATTCATTATATATACATAATCTGGATATCTGAATTTGTAGTTCCCTATCCAACCCTGTATATGCTTAGTGTAAATAAATACGTCGGTGAGTGCTGGGGTTATAACGAGCCACAGTTTTGCACGTGCTTTACGGAATTTAACCAGCGCAAATGTTCTACTTCCTACTATTTAATTTAAACTAACAGCTTAGGAAAATGTTAACATATTTCGCCTAGATGGTAGTCTACCAGAAGAAGCTCTACATAGACAGAACAATCAACAATGAACCATGATTTTATAGGGGTTAGAAGCACTGCTTTACAATCCCCATTTGTTATTCTGGTAGGCCACCGAAAAACGTTAATGAAAAAATATGCTGTTCTTGGTGCTACTGTTAAAAGAATGGAATTATCATTGGAAATGCAGTAACCCTGCACTCCGATTGTTCCCACGGCATCAATGGGCGAAAAATTACATCCAACATATTTCCCGGGGAGTAGGATGGAAAGTAGTGTCAAGTAACAAAATCTAATTTGCGGAGTGCGTCATCCAACCTACTTCTTACATGACTAGCGTGGGTGTAGAAACAACCGATTCGGTGACAGCGTTCCGTGGTTTACACAAGCGAATAGAAAAGAAATTTCAACGGCACGCCAGACGGCTGTATTATTCTGCTGCTTTCTAGGCGTGGTCTCTATGTACGGTGTTACTGATGAGTTGCAGTAAAGAGCGACACACATGATTTCGATTGTGTAAAGTCAAATAGGCCGTAAGCAAATTGCTTCGTAGTCGGCGATACCGCCCGCTGAGTACTCCCAAACCTTTCAGCCTCTGCTCATAAAGAAGGTGGCACATTCCAATCATATATTTAGAAGCCGGACTTTGAAGTTGTCCCCGTGCATTAAGGCCCGTTATCAGCCACGAATACCAGCCTTGGACTGCGTATTCGAAATGGTGGCGAACAGACACATTCAGCATCTGTAAGAAAATGATGGTGTCTAGTTGTCCGAAGGCTAGTCGTAGCAAGCCGACCTGCTGGTTACCAGGTTTCAAGACCTTTGCGGATTGCTTGGAACAACCCAAGTTACCTTGAACATAGACACCAAAGGTCGCATTCGCTTGATGACTGCTGCAGTAGTAGCTTGTAGGAATAGGTACTTTGGTGTCGTATGAGTAGAACCTTGACTGCCCGCGTTGAAATATAAAAGAATTCGGGTTGACCACTCATGTACCTTATCCAGGCTATAATGCTGTAAATACTTCTCGGTATCCGCCAGGATCTGGTGCCATATCTTGATATAGTCAGCAAACAACAAAGAATTTGAACCGCTTTTCCTTGCAACTTCATTTAGGAATACCAAAAACAATCGTGGACTTAGAGCTGAGCCCTGGGGCGTACCAGACTTAGCTGGTATGGCTTCAAATAAGGTACTCCGGACTCTGACCACTAATTATCATCGCAGGAGAAAACTGAAGATCCAGTTAAAGTGAGGGTCACCGATCGTGTAACGTTGAAGCTTGGAAAGTGGAATTCTATGATCCAAACGATCGATTGATAGTTAAAATCCAAGTAGCTCAAATCATCGGCTTCTCAAGCGTCAGCTGACTCGGTTCAACTAATCCATGCGATTAATAAATTCATTTTGCACGGTCGCTGTTGACGAAAACCTTGTTGCTGGGAAGCCACAATGTTACAAGTTTCTAGCTAACACACCAACGCATCAGCAACGATGGGTTCCACGACTTTGGACAATATATTGCGAACCGACACTGGACGGTAGTTTGAGAACTCAGATTACGCTATCTACTAATATGGTTTGCTCCATTCTGTCCCATGTTTTGGTTAACATCAGTTTTCAAAATTCTCGGCCCAAACCATGAAGGAAACCCTCTGTAAATCTAAATTTATGCTGTTCGAATTAAAAGAAACAGGAAATTTAAAGCATTTGATTGATAATTTTTAGCCTTACTGCTTATAATCCTAGCTTTTTTCGATGTTTAGCTGTAACAGGCAAGCCGAAATAGGATATTATGTATACACTGCAACGCGGTATTTTTCGTTTATGTTGGTACGGATGGTATGGAAGTAATTACTCCATTTTATGATTTATAATATCGGGAATTTTCATTATTGTTTCTTCGACATCAGGTCAATTTTTACGTACAGTTTATATTTGACAGTGTGTTTATCACATAAAATTTTCATTTGTCCCTTGGTTAAACGTTGCATAGCCAGTGGAGTATGGCACGTGGTCTACGTCACTTGTGATTATCCCACTGTTAGCTGCGGAGTAACCATTATTTATGGTCATAACGATGTTTGGCAATATGCATAAGCGAACGTTTTGTAACTCGTTTAAATTCCCTATCTCTATTCATACTACTTTGTACCCAACTCATCTCATTGCGCACCAACCCGTTAATCTGAAATTTCTAGGAGCTTAAGTACGGTAATTCTTTGCTTTGTGCTTTTTTGTACTAAACTTCAGCCCTGTTGACCTTAGTTTACAAGCTTTACTTACAGTTGCAAATCTCCAGTAAACAGATGAAATTTGCTTCGTATGTTCCGCAACTAGCTATTGTTAAACGGTTTCGTATGCGCATGCGACAATTAAAATTGGAGTAGTCCTAGCACGTTTGTGTAAAATGGATAATGTTTTTTTATGGTGGAAAGAAAAAGCCATTTATGTAAACTTAGAAAATAGTTCAGTTAAATATATTTTGCTGGTTAACATGTACAAATTTTCTCCATTTCCTTACAGAAATCCAGTCAGAAACACGCTACTCCCCATCTGACAGTTACCTCTATTCGTAGTACGGGAAAATCCACCACACAACCGCTACTATCCGATAGCGCCGACCGGTCTGCATCTTGGAACGATCTAAAACTTTGTATGTATCTAGCTCAGTCAATGGTGACGGAATATCTAAATACGCTGAGGCACATAGATTCCAATGGGAATATCGACGCAGATGAACCAGCTAGGTCAGTGGAAAGTACAAGGCATAGTGATGAACCAACAGATCGTGCGAAAGGGGATCCATTGGATGCAGCTTGTATCTTCCCGCTTGCACACTGGTTTGATTTGCTCAGTCAACGGTGCATTGGGGCCCGCAAAACAGTACTTAAAAGTAAGTGCAACTAAATATTTTATCAAGATTCCTCTTGTCCATAGCAAAATGCGGGTCAACAAGGTATGAGCTATACTGTTGACTGCAAAACCAATCCAATTTTGTTTGGATTTGTTTTTAGGCTTTTATTATCTTGTGAGAATTAAATAAAACCCACTAATTCCCTTGCTGTTACGAGCAAGTTGGGTAAAGGCTAAAAGCTAAGTTCGTTTGCAAAATCCGTTCCAATTGTCATTCGGATCTAGAATAACTCTTCTTGTAACAAGCAACATAAAAGTTGGTTATTTAGTAAACCTACGTACTGAACGTAGTGAACCATGTAGTATAAGTGTAACAAGCGAATCGTAATCAGTTACAATACTGAACTGCTTGCTTTATCCCTATTTTCAAGCAGAAAACGAGGCACTTTTCTCTGGATTTCGATGCAATTGAATTTTATATGTTCTGCAGCTATTCTGTATATTATATCCACCCGACCAGACAAATTTCTTCTTTTTGCGTACATGGCTAGACGCTTAGCTGCTGTAAGAACGCTATAGGGGAAATACTACTACGCATATTCACATCTTAATAAACGTTCTGATCCCTATGATACAGATTTGTACTGATTACTGTCGACCAACAGTTGTTCATAATTTGTCGGGATATGCGTAGTGATCGACGCTGGTGTAACCTTTTCTAAGGATATCTCGAACAATGTGCAATTGGATTAAGGAACTAAATACAAAGCATCACTGTGACTTAATTCCTTTCATATATCTGGCAGTGGTGAATAGTTAACGTGTTGGATTGATTGGAGTATGTCAATTACCAAAATGGTTGTGGGTCCAAGTGATGCTGCATTGGCCATTTGACAACGGTTTTGACCTAGAAAAATATGAAACAACGAGTGTTCGGTTTTTGCAGTCCATCTGTAGCTAACGGTACAATTTTCCTTGTCTGGAAAAGTGTTGTCAAAAGTTTAATCTTGGTTCTTTATCTTTGAGTTATTTCATTTATGATCCAGTAAACTATAAATGCACCTGGTAATCTATACTTTACATGCACCTCATTTACCCAGTGTATCACATTTTCCTTTTAGCTGAATTACAGCGCCAGCTGCGTTTCATGAAGGATACACACAAGCCAAAAATGGAATATGACCCGATCGCATTCGAGAAGGTTGTGCGTAGTTATGCACGAAAATACTATCTCTCAGTTAACGCTGCCAATGGAAGTGGAAACTGTTCACCTGAGACACACACTAATCTGCAACCTTTGCTATTCAACTACTTTAACCTGTTGCGGACGCGGTTATTAACATGGATTGGGTTTGAAAGTGCAAATTTGGATGACCGTTTCTCAAATTCTGTCAAAGGTAACGCTATTTTTTACATTCAAACCAGCAATTCTAAAAACCTATTTATAAATACATCCTTGGGTCGCTTTAATTCCAAACTTTATGATCCATGAATTGTTCAAATCTTTTTATCAAATATTGTGTTTTTTAGACCCATTTATTAATCTAGGTAAGTTTAGGGAGTTCGGTCTCTGCGTTTAGTATATAAACGAGAGAAATTATAAATTAATATATAGGTCAAACTGCAAGTCGACATATAAATATATACGTACAAGTGTTCACTAATTAAGATGTTGGCGGCCCTTATTTAACTAATTTCAGGAAGCGTGATGCAGTAAGATTATAGCTTTTGGTATTTCTGAAAAGACAACAAACATGTTGAAACTTCTGTTTCCGAAACAACAATGCGCGAAGATTTATTTAATATCTTTATTTTAGATACCAGCACAATTGACTTTGCGAAGGAGCAATCGACTTCAAATGATCCACTGTGTTTACAAGACAAGGCTTCGGCAGGATTAATTCCATTTTATAACCAGGACACATTTTATTGGTCACAGAGGCTCATTTGTCTTCACAGAATTCTTACAGAGCGGCGACTAGCGATATACAATGAACTTATTGGAGGCCTAATCACCCAAGAAGAACCATTGTCATATTGGATGAAGTCACTCGGATCGGATGTGTCAAAGTCAGCGGACTCAATGGTTCTACTCTCAAGAGTGTCGCAGTTCTTTGAGATTGAGCCGTTGTTTCATCCATTAAAGTGGAACATACCCCCAAACGTCAGAAGTCAGCGGCACATATCTGAACCGCATCTTTTACACTTGCAGTTGTTGGACAGTGTTCCAAATCCGGAACTGAACTACAATAGGGCGAAAATACTGCTGGTATATCACGATGATGAAGCCAACAAGTAAGCAAAATGTTACTGCATAGTCCATTATAAAATTAGCAGGAAACTAAGGACGAAAAACGTTGTGAGAAAGTCCTAAAATAATAGAAATATGGCAGATGAAGGTTAGATATTGTGATTAGTTACGGAATATGATCTCAGTAATTATTGGCGTTGTATGTTTTATTCGCACCAATAGTTCAGTTCACTGTCAAACAATGCTATTTACTAGCTGTATTCAATATAATTTTCCGGAAATTAAACTTTAAATCTTCTAATGGGTTAATCAAGTGTTACCACTGAGAGAGATACGAAAAATAGGAGTGTTTAGATGCCACTATGAAACTGGTCCTCCCAAAAAAGGAACCATGTTGCGCGATTTCTCAAATGTTGTGCCTGTGACATGGAAAGCGATGCATACTTTAACACTTAACAAACCGGCCTCAGAGCCAGATTTCCAAACATTTGTTTATTAAGTCCAACTATTCGTTGCTGGCAACATCTAAGAAGTCTGGGGATAAAGTCGAAATCAAAGCACTGGTTGTGTGGATATCCTACTTGGAATGTAGTTAACCGCAGGTAGTTCCCTGTTCAGCATAATGATAGCTCGGAGCGGTGTTGGGAATTCAAATGTTTAACTGATAGAGGCGACGATATATACGAACAATTTGTACCTGGTGTATGCTAGAACAGTTAAACTTCCTTATTAGTGTACATATTAAAAAGCTGCTTCTCGCGTGTGAAAGCTGGTCGACAAGCAATGTTTTCCCAACGGCGAGCAATTTGAAGCGTTTCCATGAAGGAAGACCAGTAATGCCACCAATTTAACACAGAGAAACTAAAGACCATAGATCGCAGAAATTCGAGCGAAGCTAGTGAGTTCTTGGAAGCATGGTATTCTACGGACAATTCAATAAACCGATGCGTTGAAACAGATGATATATATGCAGCGCTACGGATGAAAGGTCATGGAAATGCTTCATTAAATAGCACGAAAAAGAAAGCCGGAGAAATGCGTCAAACGCTTTAGCAAGCTGCTGCTTTTTAGCTTGTGTATTTCTGTCGAAAGCGTACGGCGTATTACTGGTTATTAATATGAAGGCTATGCTGAAGATGACGTGCAAGAATGTGTCTTGAATTAAGGCAACATCACGGAAGCTCGGCGTACTATTTGTTTTTATTTTTATACTTGCAACATTATGCCGTCTGATTCTTCGAATATCAATATATGTGTACATGATATATATTTACATATATACGTTTCGTAACAGCCTATTTTGCTTTGAACAGTCTTAATATAACTCGGATGCAATTCTAGGTCTGTCTTGTCCCTGGTTTAATAAAATGATGAGAACTCTGGGAGTTTCTGAGGAATGGGATGATCTGAATAAACTTTAAACGTAGCGTATGCGGGCTCAAACATAATATAATTAATTTAGGCTTAGCTATGCAAGCATGTATATGAGAAGATTTACATGGTCTCAGATGTAGAGCAAACGGCAATTTTACGGTGCTCCAATGTAATTTGACGAGAAATAAGAACCAAATTTGCTCATTTTATTAATTGTACTCTGAACCTTCTTCCATTGCTAAGACCAATGTAGTTCATTGCATATACTTTGAGCTCATGACGATGTAAGCAATGCACAATCATCGTCACCTTGTAAAATCTTCAGGACGGCTACAAAAAAGAGAAATTAAGTGCAACATGACAAACTTTCCACCCACTTTTCGTATTCATGCCGACATATTTAAATATAAACATATAAATGTAGAGACAGCACACCAACCGCTGTAAACATTCATCTGCCTCTCACGTATGAGTCCGATCCCATTTGATCTTAGCACTTCCAGATGTAATCATGCACCTGTACAGCTGATATTTGTTGCAATACAACTTTGGTTTGTAAATGGGTATCGTAATTAAATCAATACTCGTCTAATTTTTTCAATGCCAATTCTGCTCTACTTATATACAACCCTCGGAGAATTGTTAATCGGTGGAAAATGAAACAATAGGGTTTATGGCGCATATACATAGGGTACAGCAACAGAAATGCCACATCCTGTCGGATATATATGGAATTGTTAAAAATCATTCAGATATGTTTTGGAGATTGGTTTGAAGAATGTAATTGCACACCACATGTATCGCGTTCACAAGAGTGATCCAAAAGATTCAGTATAGTCAATGCTGGTATAGCTAGCTATCATAGCTAGCGAGCGCACAAAGACATTGAGGTGACGCACATATACCCGTTTAGGTGAATTTAATCATGTCGAGTGTTACCGCTTACTGTAATGAACAGTGAATTTATCCGGGTAAAGATGTGTTGCTTTACAATTCTCGTTGGATAGTTAGTGGGGATATCGAACTAATAATAATGGTAAAAACAATAAAAGGAAAACGATTCGTAATTCAAAGTTGAAAATAAGGACTTATCGTTTGCTTTGTTGTAGTCCTGCAATCTGCCTTAATTCACAGCACCCAAAGTTAACAGCAAATAATTCCATGGTAATTCCAGGTGTTGGATAGACGTGGTGCTAAGTGACTAAGTTTAAGTGGATGAATGCGACATCCAAGCGTCTTTTAAATATTCTTAGTGTCGGTGCAGGGACGACCGATTATGGGAGGGCATTCCACGGGTGACAGACACAAATGGAGACGAAATTTCTGCGGCACTCCAGACGGCTATACTGTCCTGCAACTTTCAATGTGTGGAAACTCAGGGTTGTATTGGTGCTGAGTTGCAGTAAGGGGCGGTACACATGATGTGGGTCTCGAAGAATCAAGTATGTCAAAATCAGGTCGCCTCGTAGTTTGCGATAGTTTTCACTAAATACTCCCACTTATTGCAGCCTCTCCTGGTGTAAAAATTGCGCATTCTAAGTACGTTCTTAGATATCCGAGATTGTGTCTTCTCCAGTGCATTTAGGTCGTGTTTCAGCCATGGATGCTAGGCTTGAAATGCGTATTAGACATCGGGCGAATATACGCACTGAGTATTTGTCGAAATATGGATCCGTTTATTTGGCCAAGCGTCCGTCGCAATATCTCGAGGTGTTGATTTCCAGTCTTCGTGGTCTTTTCGTATTGCCTGGAGCAACACAAGTCATCTTTAACGAGGACACCCACCTCACGTTCGACAGTTGATTGTTGCAGTATGTTTGTTCCGAGCGAGTATCTGAAACTGTTCTAATGTCAGGTTAAAAGTACCTTGCATTTGTTCAAACTGAAATGCAATAAATTTTGGGCTGACCATTGATATACTGAAGGCGATGCCAGTAGGGGTTTACCTGAATTCTACCCCAAATCTTGATACCTTTGGCAAACATTAAAATTTTTGAAACGATTCCTTGTGCAAGGTTATTAATAAACACGAAAGCTAACCTGGACCTAAAACTGAGTCTTGTGGCACACCACACGCGACTTGTATGGGGTCCGGTAAAGAGCTCCGAACTATGACCGCTGATTTCTATTGAAGTAGAATGTTGGCAATCCAGCATAAATTGGGTCGCGGATTTTGTAATGATGGTGGTTGGAGAGTAGTATCCGACTGTCTAGACGATCGAAAGCCTTCGCGAAATCCGGGTAAATAACATCAGCGCATTCTCCAGCGTGCGCTGACCCGATCCAACTACTGCGTGCGATTAGTAAATTAGTTGTGCATGACCGCTGTCAACGGAATCTGTGCTGCTCAGGCGTGATGATTTTTCCAAATGATGTTTTCCAGATAACACACCAGTGCATCGGCAACTAGGGATTTCATGCTCTTGGAGAGTATAGGTACAGTTCATGTACCCAATCGCGTTACAAAAGTCGTGGTGAACGTCAATAATATTTCTCGGTACGGTAAACGAATAAGCTGCGTTAAACTGAATGACGATGATGGCCTAATTTAGGTTCAGAAACCAATAAGTATTTAAGAAATTTAAAAACCCTGCTTATTTTACCAATATTACATGCGGTTAAGTAGGTAGTAGGCTCCACTACAGGATAAGTCGCAGTATCTTTGGATTGTTTAGTGAGCAAACGTTAGTATTCCGTCACCAAGATGCAATCATTCTTTCTTGAATGGCATTGCCATCCTGAATATGACGTTAAGAGTTACTCGGTACATATAAGTTGGTGAGATTGCAGTACAGTCATACATGAATGTCAAATACATTTAGTTTCTTGAATCGTGGGATTTTAAACTTCTCTCTTCAAGTTTGGAAGATGATTCGCACTATGTTTTATTTACTTCATTAACGATGACAGCATACCACCGCCCACTTAGCCTGGTGGCATCAACTGTTAGGTAGTGTGGACAATCAGTGGTATCGACAAATCATGAATCCTGTTCTTGACTGATCCGATGTATGTGTACCGCTGACGATTCCTGGCAAGACGAAACTAATCTTTGTTGGTTTTATAGCTACAGCGATAAAACTGTCTAAAATTTTGAGGAAGTCCTAAATAGCCTGCGGGCTGACAGTATGCAATAACTGCCGTAAACCGTGATGTATACATTAGGTTTTTGTAGTTTGCGTATGAGAGGGCATAATTTTGCTTCTGAATTAGCAACCGAAAGACAGCATATATCCGTTGCCACCAAGAACAAACACGAACAGGTTTATATTTTCGTTTACTTATTGTTTGATATCCGGATTATTTTGTTAGTATGTGTAACAAAACGTACTTGTTTTAAGCACAGGACGATTATTTTGTAGGTGATGTATGAGCAACGCTAGACAGTTTAACACATGTGGTTTTTGTTTGAAAAACTTCATCTGAAACAACTCAAAGACAGGTTACTTCACCTTCTATTCGGCGAAACAATTCGGTTCGTGTGTCATAGCGTTCTTATCTTCGACTTCGAATTGATATGTCATTGCCAAACTTTATTTCGACTTGCAGTATTGAAAGCCGGGTGGTACTGATCCGCAACACTTGTAAATTGAGCGAACTAATTTTGCGAATAAATCGGATATTTGCACATTGGATGTCCAGGGAAACGGAAGTGGTAGAAGCTACGGAATTAAACATGAGCTTATCAAAACGCAAAACCATCAAGACAACAAAGAGACCAGTCAGGAGTAAAGAAGCTGCGGCATCCTCAGTTTTGGATGCACAAACGGAGGTAAGTAGAGGGATATTAATAAACAGTTTTTTTGATTAATAGGTTTTAAATTATAAAAAGGCTGTGAAGGACTCATATAAAATAACCTGTTATATTATACTGTGAGACATGACTTCAAAAATATTTTGTCGCTAGACAAAATTTTACTCGGCTGATCTTTGATGGAACATCATTTATCAAAGCGACCTACACAATCGCGTAAACCTAGATGTCAGCCTGTCAATTTTCGTTCCCTTTGGTGACTACCATCCAGCCTGAAATAGGTGTGTTACTAACAACTTCGGAACTCACGAGTCAACCATTGGTTGCTTTGTCTAATGACGGATCTAACTGATTTGATCTAATTGTGAAAAAAATAAAATGGTATCATATTTTCTTAGCAACGTAAAAATAGGACGTAAAAAGAACTCAAAATTATCACCTATAAAGGGAGTCTACTTCGTTAACTTAGTACACCAAACTTTCTCAGGTTGCTAGCGACAACACATTATGCAATTATACTCGAAATTTGAACGAAGCTGAAACCACAGATATTCGATTTATTATAGTTAGTTCTTCTTTAAAAACGGCACATGCGAGTTGTTTGTACAAATGTAAATGGTTGGTGAAAACTTCTTAAGGTCAGAGGAACAGATGACACTGTGTATTGTAACTTAAAGGAACTTGGCGTGATTAATGTGGTGTACATGGTAGATAGAGGTTGACAGAAAATATTCTCAAGTACATTTTCGAATGAGGAAACAGGATCTTATTACGGAAACCTTCACTTGACTGTTAAAAGCCTTGGACACCTAAAAGGTTTTTTGTTGAGACGAAGCAGGCAAGTACCAGTTATCATTCAAGGCCGTAAAACGAGTTCACTAGACACTGATATAAAACGAGCACTTCATACTGTTAACTGCGTATTTTACTTTCCAATCTGAAATTATTATTTCCATAAGAAAGCTTGTATTCAAAAAAACGAGATCAGAACTTCTGGATAAAACTGAAATCAGTTTTCGTAAATATAGCCAGTACTTCTGGATACTACTAAAGGTTTTGTGCTCGAAGTATAACGTGTTGCGGATGTTTCTTTCACCCGCCAATTTCCTAGCCCTACATTTATTAGCATATTCACGGGTTTACGCTGCTCAGAAGAATTCACCTGTTAAGTAACTTTGTGGCAGTTGTATTTTTTCAGCCTATCATGCATCCATGATAAAATTCAAGCTACGCATATGCAAGGTGTGAATATTGCTTGTTTTCTTTGTCTTGAGGAATAGCGTAATACCAATGACTGAACTAATAATTAGTTAAATCGCACAGGTAATCATGAGGTAAAATTTGAAGTATAACTCCACGGATTCTTAATACTTAGGCTCCTACAGTTAGTTAGGTGCACAAAAGAGATATTTAAGCCAGCGTTAATCTTGCGATGGTCTATGTTTCGACAGCATGTATGCTACGAATTATAGTTGCGTAAAATAGACTGAACCATTCTGACATGAATGAATAGCTAATTTGTCAATAACTTCCTCTCTGCTAATTCCACTAAAACTTTCAATTGTCAATATAAGATGCAAAAATTCCAAAAATTGTCGTTGGTTACGTGGAGACCTGCGGTTTGCTGTCAAAATATTGGCTGCAATAACAACGAACGATGATTTTATACAGGTTAGGATGCATTGCTTTACAGGTCTCATTGTGTAGTCTGGTGGGTTATTGAAAATGCTAGTTAAATGACAGTACTTTTATTGTCAAATGTATGAGCTAATCGTACTTAATGCAATAGACCTGCGTTCCGGGACAAATAATAAGACGGTGTTTTATCGGGAGCAGGACAGAAATATAACACCAAATAACAGAGGGTATTGGTTGAGTTCGTCATGCAACCGAATTTAACTTCAGTTCATGTAGGTCAGAAACGACAGCTTGGGAGTAAGCGTTCCACGGTTGACACGTGACCGGAACTTAAGTATCTTCAGCACTACATATGGCCATACTGTAATACTGATTACATGGGTTGACCTCTTAAGTTGGTGGTAATGCTGGTTTGAATTAAAGGGCAACAAACATGAGCTTATTTTAGCAAATCAATTATTCCACTATCCGGTTACAAACTATTTGACGATGCAGTCCGCTGAGCCTTCCGGACCCTTTCAGTCTTTGCTCGTGTGATTGCTTGCAAATTTCAATGAGGCACTTTAAAGCCAAACCATGAGGCTGATCAAGTACATTGAGATTAGGCTTTGACCATGTCTGCCAAACGTGAATTGCGTTTTTGACATTAAAGTGAACATACGCACTCTGTCTGTCAGAAAATATATATGCGTATTTGTCCAAACACTCGTCACAACCGACCAACGAGTTGGTCACCAGATTTCGATGCCCTTTAGTATGGTCTGGAACAACCCAACGTTCCTCAAACCAGCACGGCCAAGTTGCGTTTAGTAGAAGTTTGCTGCAGTAATTACGTTCCTAGTTTGTCTGAATAGGTACTCTGGTGTCTGATGGAGAGTACCTTGCGTTCACTCGCGTTGAACTGTAGCAGATTATGGGTTGATCTCTGATACGCCGTATATGGGTCACTCTGAAGCAACTTCTGATCGGCGTTCGCCTTAACATGGCGCACGTTCTTTATGTCATCAGCAAACAGCAGGAAACTTGAAACGACTGTGCTTGCAAGGTCTTTACTGAATAACAAATACGGTTGTGGTCCTAGAACTGAGCCCTGAGGAGTACGACACTCGACTTTGTGGATTAGTTAGGGAGTACCGGGTTCTGACCACTGTTTGTGCTAGTAAAAGTAAACGCTTCAGCTTCAGATGGTCAACAGTGCCATAATAATGGAGATTGGAGGGGCGAGTTCAATGACTTAGACGATCGAACGCCTTCGACAAATCCAAGTAAATCAGGTCACGTTGCTCTTCGCCGTTATGTGTCCATGGAAACCAGGCTGATCGGGAGCACTAACTGTGCACTTATTCAGCTGGCAAACCAACGCATCGTCAAAGATGGATTCTCATATATTTGACAGTACAAAAGACGAAATATTTGGCGTCAGTTTGAAGGTTCAGTATTGCATGGACCTTTGAATATTGAATGTAATATTACACACTTGCACACGGCAGGAACCTAGTTCTGGTCTAAACGATGCTAGAACAACTGATCCAAAGCTTATGCTTGTTGTCTTAATGCTGCTCCAGTTCCTCTAGGCGAATTTTATCGAAATTCCGGTGGCTGTGTTTGCACGGAGACGTCGGTTTAAGCAACACAGCTTCAGTTTGCCCGTGTGACGGTTTCGAAATTTGAGAACAGATTTGTTGTGTATTTTTTGTTCTGGAAACACGAATTTCTGTTATCCTTTGCAGAAAAACACGGTAGGTATTTGTATTGACCCTAGTTTTTGCGAGTTGTTCAGAACCATTGCCGAATCGTCGGTTGCATTCGGACTATTTAATTTTATAACGTACGCAAGATGTGAAATACACTAGGGTCAAATCATCCAAATACGATGCAGTAGATCTGTATTGGTTGCAACATAATTACTCATATACTTTGCAAAATACGATCCCGATAGAGCCTTACCTTTTCAAACGCATGAAAAGAACGACGTTAAAATTCCCAACAATGTTAACCACCACTGAGTAGATATAAACCAATCATAATTTCAAGGTAGATTTTTGATAATTGCAGCGGTTTTTGTGGTTGGACGGAATATGTTTGAACGAAAAATGGCACTTCAGCAAATTCCGCCTATAAATGCCGCTCCTTGCGTTGAAATGTCTATACAAGCAGAAAGTCTGTGGAATGAGGGAACATTGTTACATTATGCGCACACCTGCTGAACCCCAAATGGCTCGGCAAATATTAGGGAATTGAGGAATAGTTTCAATTAGTTTGATGACGAAGTGGCTGGGCTGTTTACATTTTAATAATTATAAATACACTTATCTAAAATTTGGCGTAACGTTTTTGGGTGTCTCATGTGACATAATGGCTAACAAATTTATGAAACAAAGTGATACTCAGCCGTTCTTAACCATCCATTGAGCTATCAAAATGTGCGAAGACTTAACCATGTTCAGCACCGGACACAAAGGGGATCTTTCTTTGTGAAATTTAGGAGGACCGTACAACCGCATAAGTGTTCAACTAAAACAATCAGTTTTTCGCAAATGCGTTTTTAAACATAACATTCGCCTGCATAAAGCTTCTGGACAGATTTTTCAATTACCTTTCTAACCCTTTTTTAGTACTTATCACTACTGTTAGCTTTATGAAAGTGTATTGATCACTATGAATATATTGCAGCTGATTAGCGTAATCCGTACTATCTTTTGGAAGTATGCCAGAATGTTTATCTATCTAATTGCCGCTGAACTCCATATTTATCCCTGAATCTGCAAGCGATCACATTTGTGCGCTTGTAGGGATACCAGTACTGGCTGTTCTGGCACTAATATAGCCATGCTATTATTCACTAAGCTAAACGTAGTTTTTCTAACAGCACTAGAGAACTTTGGTAACAGTTCTGTCGCCTGTGCTGTTAAGCTCTCGATTCCCACCTCTAATGCAGCTTGGGCAAGTTTTCTACAAAGATTGCAAAACTTAGGGTTTAATGAAAACGCGTCAAGTTGTGTTGGGTTGACTACAACACTAGGTAAATTAAATACCTACGGCTCTGGGCTGCTCAAAATCTTCAGCGGTGAATTTGGACATTCAGTGTCTTAAGGAACATCGTTCGTCTTTTTTCAACCGTTTGTTTCTTACTTTAGCTAGCATATTGTCCCAGAGCATTACAAATACTTCCGGCGTCTGATCTTAAATGCAGGTATTGCTCCTCGAAATTCGATTGCTCGAGGCATTATGGAGAACTTGGAATCGCTAAGGAAATAACTATGGACAAAAGGTGTAAAGGATACTTCCGGGTTCATCTGGCAGATAAAGGAAGTAACCTAACTAAAAGTGGCTACAAGTATTCGACGCTCAGTAATGTTTAACGAATAATCGTTATTGGAAAAATTCATTGGATTATGTTTGCAAACTGGCACTACAACAGTACATACAAATGGATCTCCGAGGAACTCTTCAGAAAAAAGTATTAATTAGGTGCAGCCTAAATATGCATTTTGCATTTAATCCGGGAATATGTTGTTAACTTGATGGAGTCGCCATGTGGTCACCGTTGGTGGCAGAAGACTTTGTGGCGCATTTGCAGCATCGCCCACCATGATTTAGGCAAACGAACTTGAGATGTGTATACACTGTTACGTAGATGACACCTTAATGGCATACAAATGGAAAGCACAAACTGTGATGCTTTTACTAGTTTTCTCGACGTGCAGAAAAATGTACATTTCATCTGTGAGTACCAGCCCGGATAACATGCACCAATTCTGGAGGTAGATATCATCAGACACACCGAAGGACGGTGCAGCAGTAAGGTGCGTAGAAAACAAAATGAGACTAGACAGTACATCACATTTTACCATGCTGATCCCTTGAAATAATATGCCATATACTCTGCAGACTTGCATACCGAACACACTTATCGAAGAACTGCAGAGTATCATTGACGTCATAAGAGCGGTTGCGTGTCAGGATAAATTCAAGATCAAACATTTTAAAGAACCTAAGAAATGCCACAGAGGAAGAGCGTAGCCAAGACAGAACTTCATGTGTATTTAGAATGCAGAGGTAAGATTGCGGCTGATGCCCTGAACAAACGCTCGAAAATGCCACTTAGAATACCGATTTCGCGGTTTTTCTGCCTATAATATACCATAGCGGGCATTTAATCGCGAAACTTTGAAGGACAGACTGCCTACTTTGACTCAATCATTGCGTGTTTATCATTGCCCATGCTCCTGTGGTGCATAATAATTGGGTCGTACAACGAGGAGCCTACCTCAGGATATGCAAGCACATACCGTGGTGGTTTTATAGAGGTGAAGCGATGTCTTCTACTAGCTTTACCATGTCGCATCTCCTCGAGCGCTGTCTCACAGGCTCTGAAAAGGATTTTAAAATTACCCAGTCCATTTATGAGTGATGGTTGCACAGACTCAATAAAAATCGCGGATAGATTGCTGAAGCTAATTATATCCGCCCTTTCAAGCAGGAGCTATTCGTGCGGAATCAATGCGTACGCCAGTTTCTTTTACTGTGACTCATAGTTTTCGGTACAGGATCATTAGGCGTGATTTCTACCCATGTTAACCTCAGATTTTTTGTAAAAATACTGCACCTAAGTAACGTTCCCTTGCACTTAACCTATCACCCCATTGACATCGATTTTTATCTGTTCGGCCATTAAATGTAACATCTCGATCAATATTCAATCCAACTCGACACGTTTATCATGTAACTTACACTGTGTAAATGTCTAAATCTGAGGAGTATAAGCAAAGTATTCTTAATGCAGCACCCAGATTCCTGCTATTCATTAAAACTTTTCAGACTGATAAATGTATGCATTTCCTTTGAGTCACACAGCCACCAAATCGTTTATATAAAATTACGATAGCGTAGATAGAATTAGACATAAAGCGTATTTCACTACCCAGGAAGTGAATGAATCATGAATCATCTCCGGGATTGCTTTTGGTGGCCATGATGTCTACGTCCTTGTGATCTAGTCGAATAACACACTAAATGAGTGGTTAACATAAATTTCCAGGTCAACATCTGTCGTTCATTACAATTCACGGCGCTTTTAATAACTAACCATACCTCCAGTGCATGGATCGTCTTTCCGGATAATTGACAACCATGTTGTATGGATCTCGATAAAATAGCTTATTAGTGCAAGTGGATTGCAATAGTAAAAAGGAGGTTCAAAGCGCCTGCGACCGGAGATTAATCGATCGTTATTTACATTACTGTGAACTATATTGGCGTCAAGTTCGACAATTTTGCTCATTACTCCTAAATCTAATTTATCCACAGTTTCGGATATATGATCATCCGCTTCACTCACGGTTTGCACCGATTCGTTAACTTCAATACTGATGCAAGATTTGAGCAGAATCTTCATTGGGTTTTCTACATTAGGGGAAATATTTTCTTTGCGGAAGATATTTCTTGTCTCCTTTAGGCGTAACACATATGACAGCTTACATGGAAGCATGTGCCGTCTCTTCACTAGTCGTCTTGCCCGCTGTCTCGACTGCAGGAGTAATTTCATTGTTCTTGGGCAGCTCCCTTTTTATTCTTGATAATGCGTGTAGCCATGACACTAAACCTTTTCCAACCAAGGCTTCTCAACATGAGGCGGTTGCTTTTTTCGGAGTTTGTAATTTTATGTCCAACGTATGCGTCAGTCTCTTCAAGCAGTGAGTGCGATTGTAACAATGTACCAAGTACAGTAAGACAAGGCTATCAGTGAAATTCTTATTAGTTAAGGTAGATGTAATACTGGCAATACAATGGGAACAGAAGGAGTTTGCCTATATACACTATTAACGATGTAGCTTAAAATTAGTTAAAAATATTAACTGCTGGAAAATGGGTGATTGTATTGTGTGTAGGAAATCGGGGATTATATTATTGACGGCCAAGGTATTTTGCTTAGTTGGATACAAGGGTAGTAGAATCTAACATTTGCAATTAGTCAGTGTTTGCATCGATCAGTGGTAGGCATTTTAGAGTAGTCGCCTACAAGTAATGTCATAACAGCTGACGGATTAAAGATTGGAGTTGTGATTTCGGGTATTCATAAATTGCCTGCTGAAGCTAAGCTGTAAGATACAGAGACACGTTTAGGGCGATTCATAAAGCAGCAAGCACAGGCAGTCCTTGTATATATTGGAACAGGTAAAATAACTTGTTCGTGTCAGTATGTATCTATATGAAAAATTGACGGGTAACAATTATTTCTAAACTGCGAGTCTCACGTAGCCTGGTTTGTTACCATTAATTGGCTGTAACTTATTAGTAAAAATGTATTAGGTAAAAGTCAGAATCTGTAGCCAAAAGCGTGATTTTATACAGCATCTTGAATTCAGGGTTTCAAAGACTGTTTCGAACCTCTTGCAACTCAACCTCTCACAAGCCTGGTTCCTTGTTTCGTAACGTATATGCATTTTCGAGAAATATACATATTCCCAATATAACAAACATATTGCTACCACGCGGCGAATTAAATGTATGATGCTACATTCATTTTGTTTTTCAGGCTGAACTGACTCTCTGGTTAAAGGACTTTCATGACGCATTTTCCAACTTGGAATATATGGATTATTCGGCAGCAAGTGGCTTTTTTATTGCTTCTTCCGTTGTTGATGAAAGTGAGACTAAGGTAAGCTATACTAGAAAGTTAATTTATTTTCCTTTTCTGTGTGATTTATAGTTCGGCAGTGGGTGCGTCGAGAACTGTTCGTTTTTTCTTTAAATAATATTGTTTACCGCACTGGCAAGCCATCATAACTAATTTCAAAATTGAGGTTTAGATTATAAATTTATAATGGATGAAATATTGGCAGTGATGTCAATAACCGGCGTATGTTATACATGGTCAACTTTACGAACGCAGTTATCTAAAAGGTAGCGTAACTTCGTGATACGAAGCTATTCATGGATGCTTTGTTTTAAGATGTATTGGTTGGTTATTGAAGAGAATTTTGGTATATATTTCCTTTTTGGTCGGTGGTGTTTCATTAAAAACCCAAGCGCATTGTTTTTGTAAGGAATTTGTATCTAATATGCCTCCAATTCATTAGGTCCTTTCGTGATCGAGTAGTGAGTTTATGCTGAGAAACAAGGCGCTCTTAAATCAACAAACAGATTTTGAATAACCTTTCTATATAAATATATTTTCCTTTTTGTTACTCTGAGCTGATCAGCGTTTAATTCGAACTTTTACAAGTCAAAGCGCAATCTTTAATACATCAATATGTCCAGGAAATTGATCTTGCAGTTATCATCCTAAGAGCTTAACAGGGTTCTATACTCGTTAACGCATAAATACTGCTTTAGTTGAGCGGAATGTTGTACGTTATTTACGGTTGAATCTTTTGAGAGTAGAGAACCACGGGTGAAAAATCTCCGTATGGAAAACCGATTTATCAGTGTAAGTTTGTTGAAATTATGTGAGCTAACTACGCTGTATATTTTGATCAAACACAGTAAATCAAAGAATTAGACGGCACCCATTTGGCCTTTTTGTTCTGAAGAGGACTGATCAAATTAAAGGTTGGATACAGTTAGAAATTATCTGATCGGTCGTTCCAATTAATGGTATAGACTAATTTATACTACGTCACAGCAGTAAGTAGACTTAAGTTGCGATATGTCAACATTTCTATTATTCTCATCAGTCTCAAACACAATACAAGCGGGATTCATAGACAGTTAAATACAGGGGGAAATTTGGCACACCAATCAAAATATCAAAATCAGGACCATGATAACCTAATTTATTGTCGCAATAGTTTCTGTGCACAGAACACAGGTTGATAAGCCCTAATTAGCAAAGCCTCAGTAAGTGTCAAGATTATCGGATTGTTGTTGCGTAATAAAAACTTGGACGCAGTCTTTGGGTTCACCTGATGTTGAGTTGCCAAGAAATGCTTGGTGATAGATGATGCTGGACTCCGGTGCATCCTCGGACCCACTCTGGTTTGCTGTGTCACCAGTTGCTCGAACCACCTCGGCACATATCCAGCTACCCTCTAAGCTAACTGACGGTCAGCCTTGCCTATATAAATGTCACCGCAACCGCTGGTGAACTGGTAAACGACGTGAGAGGCCGAACTGACTGATGAGTTGCTCTGACGGTCATGAAGAACAAGGCTTCGCTTTGTATGTATGAGTCTCAACTGGGCGGTCACGTAGGTGCGCGTAAGGGCTGACCAGAGTTTATGTCTGATATCATTTTATACATGGTCTCCTTCGAACGACAAGAACAAATAAACATTCTTTATCTTTGCTGTTAACACCGGTATTTTCTTCTTGTGAGGCCTGCTGTGGATCTGAATGAACTTCTCAGGAGACCCATTTGACACCAAAGTTTTGAACAGAAATTCTTAATCAGCTTGCAAGATTTCGGGGCTGCATATCTGTCTGGGTCTTCAGAAGAGTGTTTTCACTAGGTCACGTTTGTATGCGACCGGCGCAAAGCTGGAAAAGTGGAGGTACTGCCTGCTCCAAGTTGTCTTGTGATGAACCATGCGCTGTAGTGTACCATCGGTCCGTCTCTTAATGAGTGTATCCAAAACTGGCAGATTATCATGTTGTTCCAACTCATTGGACACCTATAGCTTTGGATGCATTGAATTCAGAACTATTAACAGAAGCGCAAAATGTTTGTTGTTGCTGAAGACAAGGATGTCGTCCATATACGGCTTGTACAACGTAGTTCCCTAATGCTGGCAGTAAGTTGTCTTTCTATCAAGCCAAAAAAGATGTCTGCTAATACTGGTCCCATAGTGCTACCCATGGCGACGCCGTCGATCTGTTTATAAACAGTCCCCTCAAACTCGAACCGTATATTTTCAGTGCATAATAGGATCATATCCCTCAAATACTCCAGCGGCAGGCCAACAGACATGCTTTGACTCGCGATGAAATCACACAAATTTTCAACCGTCTCACGTAGAGGCACGTTTGTGAATAGAGAGTCGACGTCTATTAAGTACAGGTGCTCCGCGCCCGGCAACACGTGTTCCAGTGTCTCGTTTAATGCAAAGAAGTCCTTTAGGCGGTACGTGGCCAGTAGTTTTCGTACCGGCTCTAACATTTTCGCTAGCCACCGCACAACGTTGTGATACAGTGTGTTGTTCATACACGTAACCGGGCGTAGTGGGTTACCTGCCTTATGTAATTTGGGAGCGCACCTCATTCTGGGTGTCTGAGTGCCAGTCGGTTGCAACCGCCTGTATTGCGAGTCATTGATGTAACCACGTATTAAGAGAATCTGCAGTTTCCTTGCCACTTGCTTCTCGACCAAGATGTTGTTTTCTTGTGTCTTGTCTAACTGGAACTTCCGTCTGTTTTCCAAAATAGATTCCATCTTTGCAATGTGGTCAGACCGGTTCCTTATCACAATGCCTGATCCCTTATCCGGCTGCAGAAACATGATGTGTCCCATTTGTTTTAACTCTGATCGCCATATAGTGTTCGGCTTTCAGACAACATCTCTGGCTTATCGGCGTGTTCATGTATTGGTTCGCCATAGCTACCAATTTTGTCCGGAACCAACCCGCATCTTCCATTGATCTTGGCGTATGGTCACTGAGCTGTTCACCGAGATATTCAAACTGAGCCTGCGTGTTGAGGTTATCTATATCTTTTGGCAGAAATGGGTATTTCAGTCCAAGTGAGAGAACTTCCAATTGTGTGCGCGTGAACCGTACAGATGACAAATTGTCTACATGCTTTAAGCACTCAGTAGGGAAGGTAGCATTTCGAGCTTTTGCAAGGGAACCCTGCAGATTGCGGACTGTAATCGTTCTCGTGCAACGGATAATATCAGTGGAAAAGGCCTCAAATTTCAACCGGCAAAAAAGCAACGACTCCTTGAGCATGCATGCGAACCGCCTCTGCGATTTATACTAAACAGTAGTATTTATTTTGTCTAATGACAAATAACACCAATGTGCATGATTTTAAGTTTCCATCTTTAGGAATCACAAAGTATACCAGCGTTCACTCATTTTCTAGCCAAGTAAGATTGCACTGTAGTTTCGATATCACTACGCAGCCTGTAATATTTCTCGGAGTTCAGACATAAATCTTTATGGTATCAGCGAAGAATTAGAGAAGATATCAGACCCAGAACATGCCACATGTTCTTCTTCAACCGGGGTAGACTATTAACAAGCTACACCTGGAACGTTCGGTGAATGATCCAATATCTTAAAAACCGCACTGGTTAAGAGAAGATCCAGGTGCATGAGCATGTAGAGATATCTGCAGCCCCCATGGTGCAAATCACCGTACTGAAACACTGACGCACGCAGAGACCAAGCTAACTGAGTCAGTGTGAGAACACTTGTGATTGCAAAATGGAGTACCGTGTTTACATGATGTTTTGCTTCAAACTAGACAACACGCCTCTTCTGACGGTGAGGAGTTGATCCAGCATGTCTTTCTAACCAACGCCAAACCTTCGATGCGGTAGCTTACGAGAAAGTTAACGCACGGTTTCTGAAACGCATTGGCGCAGTTTCGGTCAGGACTGTACCGTCGTGGACAGTGGAATTTCCTCAATGAAAACGTCCGTCCGCACAAAGTGATCGTCGGTTCCACTTTCTTACTAAACGGGCGTGAATCTTCTTCCATACCCTGCTTGTCTTACAGATTTGGCGACAGCCTATTTCTCTTTGTTTCCTCGCCTTAAATTATTCCTGAAAGGCTTAGGCTTCGCAGGCTTTGCGAACATCCAATAGCGCATGATCATGGCAATTCGAGCGGTTTCACAAGAACCGTCTGCTGCCCGTTTTCGCTAGCTTTCAACTAATGTCAGGAGTGTATTGTAGCTAACGGTGACTATTTGTAGGGCAGCGAAAGTATTTTGGTTAAAACTTTTATTTCTTGTATCCTTGGTGACCATTCACTGAATTGTACTGGTGCACCTTGTATATAACTAAACGTAACACACTGAATACATATCCTTTGTGAGCTTTATGTAATCACAGGTTTTGTCATTGGACAGCAACATAGACGTAACAATAAAGTGCACGTTTACCTCAGTTTATCTCGGGCGTACTATTTGGGAAGGTAAGGCTCAATCGAGGTGGCCCCCAGTAAAATCCCTTGAATACATTTCATTTTGATCTCAGTTACAGACACCAGTAGCGCTTACTGATTTTCGTCCAACTGGGCTGCGTTTGACCCTTTCGGTTAGTAAATGTATGCTACTCTTTATTGTTGCTCTTATGTTTCAGCTTGAGCCAACCACAGATAACTTGAAGAGTCTCTATGCGATTTTTCAACGGAACTACTTGGGTGGAAGCCTACAACCTGGAGCAGTCCAAAATTACTTTTTAGAGGTGATGCGGCGAAAAGCAGCTTGACATTATGCGGAGTAATAAATAGACGAATTTTGGAGGATATATTTCATTTGATAATATAGAATTTTGATAGATTTTAATTGCTTTTATTTTACCCTATTTGTGCCGGGTATAATTACACTTATTCTTCAGTTTTATTTCGACAAACAAAAGCAGCAATGGTTTAAGTATTATCTTAGTGTTTATAGTTCTGTCCCGATAAGTTTGAAAGGGAATATCACCCGTGTCTTAAAGGAGGGTGCAAGGAGAATATGTGAAGAAGGTACGTTTTCAGGTCAGCTGTGTTTTAGCTGAAGTATGTTTGAACATAATATTTACCTAGCAAAGTAACTCAGAATCGCAAGTTTTAAAGGGGAAGCCTGATTCCGCAGGACAGCAGTAACTATACTTACCGTTAGCGTTTAAGTAAACGCCGTAGGGGAACGGACCATCAAAAGTCTTCCCATAGCCACAGCGAAAACGTACTACGCGAACAACATGCGCTTTGCTTCAATTTAACACAGATTGTGCGTCATTAAATAAAAGACAGAACACTTCGGTAGCAAACTTCAGTTTGTGCATACAATCATCCTTGTTTGTCGTGAACAAAGGATATAAAAAGCTACCAGGTAATTATCACTAAGAGCTTGAGAACATTACCTGGGTTGGCTCCAAAGTGATGTGCGGAAGAATGTGACGAGTGCAGTTTTGTCGTTCCTGATGGACTCCGATCACCAAACCACTTCGCATGACGTATTCATAGAAATTTACTATGCACCTGAAGTCAGACGCTGTCGATCAGTTGTAACCTGCTGTCGACAGTAGAATTGTTTGCCAGCCCAATCAAGAACCTGGACCTTTGTGAACAGAAACATTCGTCCAAGCCCCCTAGTTAACAGTGGCGCTTAGAGCAGAGCAATCATTGAATAAATCGTTCAGTTGCTTTAAGAGATCCACTTGGTTGGATACAAGTTTTTCCAATGGTAGGAGGAAATCCTTTGCTTCCAGCAACCACGTCGGGTACGATCGACAGCCTATGAAAATTAATTAAATTAAGCAATTAATTAATATGAAAGTAATCCATTAAATTAAGCAAGGAAAACACGAGCAATATGGACCGTGAAGAATCTGCGTCCCCAAGCTCTTACCCCGGCAAATACCACTACTCGGGCGGCGTAATTGCTTTTCAAGACTAGAAGATGGACTATTGTTTTAGGATTTCCTGTCAGAAAGTCATCCTTACGTATATTTTGCGATTTTTATTAGTGCACAACTGGAAGGGAGGTCAAATGCACGGGATGGAAATGAGTTCGCGATTTATGGAACCCACAAGACGCTGTCAAACTTTACGGATCCACATCGCTTGCTGCCGCGATTCATCCTTCCTGGGACACCAGTACATTAATGAGCGTATGGATGATTGTGAATTGTGTACATACTGACAACGCCATGAATAAAACCTCCAGCGTTCAAGTTCACACTAGTATGGTAAGCCATCTGCCCCAAGCTCTGTGGAAGCGGAGCGTTGTTTTCCGCGAGCGGTGAATTCTTCTACTCATATCGCAACGCCGATGGTTCCAACTAGGAATATGTTGCCGTCACGGGTTATTTCCGTCCGTATGGCAAAGCAGAGGTCCTATACAGTGCAACAGCAATAACAGAGCCTACGACGTCTGCCAAATCAACGTGTTATCTTTTTAATATATTCCATAACCAGACGATGAAGTAGGAGATACGTTTCCGCCAATTGATCCCACCAAAATTTAGCTTATGATAATGGCTGCTTAAATCATTGCGTTATGATTGAATCCGAGGACGCCATTTGTGTTACCGCGAAAGGGATTAGTGGCCCACAAGCCGCAGTAGACCGGATATGCGACAGTAATAAAACAGTCCAGCAAGATTTCAGAGAGATTTGGAAACAATCGGTTTGGTATAGTAATTTGGTAACGTTTCGCCTCTAACCTAGAGGCTTCCTCAAACCAGGTGAATCAGTGTGCAATTGGTGTGGGATTTTATAGCGAACGTATTCATAGAAATTTACTATGTACCTGAAAGTCAAACGCTGTTGGTCAGTTGTAACCTGCTGTCGACAGTAGAATTGGCTGCCATCCGATTCACGGACCCGGACCTTTGTGAAAAGAAACATTCCTCCTAGCTCTCTATTTAACAGTGGCGCTTAGAGCAGCGCAATCATTGAATAAATCTTTCAGATGCTGTAAGAGATCTTCTTGGTTGGACACAGGTTTTCCAATGGTAGGAGGCAGGAAATACTTTGCTTCAAGCAACCACGTCGGGTACGATCGATAGCATATGAAAATTAATTAAATTAAGCAATTAATTAAGTATTTAAGCAATTAATTAAATTAAGCAAGGAAAACACGAGCAATATTGACCGTGATCAGCCTGCACCCCCAAGCTCCTACCCTAGGAAATACCACTACTCGGGCGGCGTGATCACTTTGCAGGACTCGAAGATGGACTATGGTTTCAGGATTTCTCATATTTAACCTGACATGAAGTCATGCTTACGTACATTTTGTGATTTTTATCGGTGCACAACTGGAAGGGTGGCCAAATGCACGGGATGGAAATGAGTTCGAGATTTACGGTACCCACAAGACGCTGTCAAACTTTGCGGATCCCCATCGGTTGCTGCCGCGGTTCAGTCTTCCTGGGCCACTAGTACATTGATGAGCGTATGAATGATTGTGAATTGTGTGTACATACTGACAACGCCATGAATAAAACCTCCAGCGTTCGAATTCACACTTGTATGGTAAGCCATCCGTCACATGCCCTGTGGAAGCGGAGTGTTGTTTTCAGCAAGCGATGAATTCTTATACTCACATTACCACTCCGATTGTTCTAACTAAGAATATGTTGCCGTTACCGGGTTATTTCCGTCCGTGTGGTAAAGCAGAGGCCCTATACAGTGCGATAACCTTGCCAGAGTCGACAACTTTTGCCAAATCAACCTATAATCTTTTTATTATATCTCATAACCAGACGATGTGGTGGGAGATAAGTTTCCGCCATTTGATTCCACTAAGGTTAAAATTGAGGTTATGATAAGGGCTGCTGGAATCATTGCGTCTATGATTGGCTCTGGGGATCCTATTTGTGTTACCCCCGAAGGCTTTAGTGGCCCACAGGCCGCAGTAAACCTGATATGCGACACAGTCATAAAACCGTCCAGCAAGATATTTAAATCATCACAATTGGAAGAGTAAGCGGATCGAACAAACGGGTAACTGATGTGCCTCTTGGAATCGAAAGGGTTTTGAAGAAACGGATAAAGGGCATAAACGAGTTTGTTGTTGTTAGCATTCCACTAAAAGAAGGATGGCTGGTGTACCCAAATCCTTGTGTTACTGCCTGTGGCTTAACAACTATATTTGCCGCTCCTAGCGGTCGCATTTTTTCGCATCCCGTGATAGATACAAATCCGCAAACCCTTAGAGTAGCGAACAAATCCTCCATATTTGGTTTCAAGGTAAGACAAACAAGGATGCAGTTAAATAATGCAGCGTTAAATGCAGTTATTTGCATTTCCACAATACCCGTATACAAAATACACAGAAACACTTTGTACTTTAGTTGCGGCATAAGTGAAAATTATACCAATAAAATCCAGTCATGCACAATGATTTCTCTTTATGGAAAGGAATAGCAGATCCGTGAGTCTTGTGTAGTCCAATGCTGAGCGAAGACAGTTGCTTATATGCTTGAGTTTTGAGAAGAAGTGATTACGGCTGGCAGGGTTAATAGATTGGTTAAAAATGATGCGCAAACATACCACAAACTTCGATGCAGCTACTCTAAGGTGATTTCTACGCATGAACGTCAAGTTTCAAATATTTAGTTGTTTCCGTCGTTTTTTGAAACGTCTACAAAATACTGCATTATTTCACTGCGCTAAGCAGACAATCATGGTAGTCAGCAGTCTTACGACAATGTTATTAAAACGCAATTGTTATTAAGATCATCATTTGGCTCATATCAAGGACATTTTTCATCGATCACATGACAGACAACATTTGCTGTTCCAAAACTGTCAAATCCCATCTAGGTTTTAAAGAATTTTTCATCCTACATTACTTTCTGAAGCTGATTCGACACTTCATTCCTTATCCATAATTCAGGGCCGTTTTTAGATTTATCCATAGCAATGTTCACCATCTTCTCTCATTTCTTAAGAACACAAACTTAAGATTTCATTGTTGAAGGAAATTTGTATAAGCTTTCCCTTTATTTGAAATTTTACAGTGCATTATTATTTTATGGAAGTACAGAACTCCTCGGGTTTAGAAACGAAGTAGCAGGAACGATAGTACCGCGATGAGAAGTACAGATGCCTCTGCACTCGAGGTTGCCTTCTCTGTTTTTGCACACTGTTCTAGAGCATTAAC